AATCACAATGAGATTAGGTGATGCGGAGGTCACATGACACTTTACAGTCCCAAAGGAGAAGAATGTTGCAGAATTTCCTCCGGCAACCCACTTCATAACAGAAACATTTCAAACACTTATCAGGTTAAGGACTGCTAGGAAGCCATAAATAATGACGAATAGCTGTTTCTAGTCCTTTGGGAATTCAAAATCCCGAAAGAAAAAAACGATCTAGACATGGCTAGAGAAATATTCAGGAACACCTGTCCCTTCCCCCGGGGTCAAATGTGTTGTTGACAAGGGCTTTATTTTACGCCTTTGATTCAAGATATCGAGAACTATCCCGGAAGATCTTGAACTAATTCAATCAGGAATTCGTTCAGGTTATACGCACGCCGACAGCTTCTCGCTTTCATATCAATAGAGACCTCTCATTGTCCCATGCTTGGATTTTAAGAAATCTACTCTGCTCCACGACACGTATTTTACTTGTGTATATTCCTCAAGAGATTAGGAAATCATCGCACAGAAAACAGTGTCTTCGTTTGAGTCGAAAGTTATCACAAGCTGGCCAGTAGTACCTATGGCTCGGAATTATTCTACATGCATGGGATTTCACGCCGCTTAACCCTCCTATCGGGTACGGGATTAGCTCGGCTGGACATATGACGATACATTAGGAAGCCAATCACAGCTGGTGTATTGGTTATGGAAACATGTCATCTCATACTTGGTCGCCGCTTCGAAGTCATGGAAGTCAATGAAATCGCGATTTCCTGGATTGTCTGCGAGTACGTTATTTGGGCCAAAGCGACAACAGCATCGATTTGAAGATTACTCGTTTTTGATCCGATCATATCCCAATGGGGCTTGCAGGAATCAAGTGGGAAAAGACACATATCACTACCATTATTATATTCATAAAAGTTACATGTCTCAAGAACTTGCAAGTGCTTAATTACACTTTATGGCTACGTTACATTCCAAAAAATCGATGAATCTGGACCGAGGTATCAATCAATGCCATCAAGTGGTATTGGCTTTACCAGATGAACCATAAGATTTTTTAAAGACGAACCGATTGTCTTAGATTCTCCATACGTAGCCGCTTTCAATGCTATGTATTATCATTCAATAAAGATACGGAACGTGAACTGCACAGCCAGACCTCGATATTCAAGAGAGTATCAGCCTTGAATTAAGCGGGAGGGTCGACTCTAGCCTTGGCGGCAATTCTTCAATGCCAAGGCCCACAACGCGCGTTTTGCTCCACTTTCTAGACTATTCCAAAGAGAATTCGCGTCAACTGCCCAGCACGGTATTGGGTGCCGTGCTAATGTGGCTCATTCAATCCGCAATCCTTTTTTCCTCCGTCCAATCAAATGTCTCTTGTTGCAAATATACCTTTACTTGATGCACTGACCTCGACATATGTCAGTGCGATTTTAGAGTACTAAATAAGCTGCCAAGAACAATGGAGCCGGGTACCTGCATGGAGCTTTCTTGGAAACCCCGTCTGTTGCGTTTCTCCCATCATACTGCCAGTGGGGGGCCGGCAGTGACATACTGTTACGGTTGTTCTTGTGCTAGTGGAACGTCGCCAGTGACATGCTATGGAGACTGTTTGAAGTGTTGTTCTTCTTCTTTTGCAAGTGATAAGATGGAGGTTACAATTGAAGTGGCAACGGGTACGTAGAACCTAATCTATTCTATGCTTAATCCCTGGGGATATTGGACTGCCAGTTCAAGATGAATTCGTAAGCTCCTTCGGCACTGGCGACAATTCTGAAGGTGGAAGAAACTACATGGGGAAGAGTGAAGATATATAAATTCGACGATGTTTTGCTAGAAAAGAATTTCTAGCCATCCTCAGCATCACCAATAAGAGTCTTCTAACGTTTACAACTTTTTGAACAATCACCGAACACTCATCCGACAATGCATTTCTCAGCGGCTGCTATTTCAGTCATTTTGGCGACCTCTGTCATTGCTCATCCAGGTCATGATGTTAGACAAGAGATTGCCGAGAGAGCTTCCTTCATGTCTCAACTCAAAACCCGTGATCTCAGCCACTGCTCTGCGAAGTTGAAGGCTAGAGGCCTTGAGCAAGCAGCCGTCGCAAGACGCTCTGCCATTGCTAAAAAAGAGAGAAAGAAGAGAGGTATCAACTCTGGTAGGTTCTAACTCGCTGTTTTCCACTACCTCTCAAATTCATGCAGAGAAACTAATCCATTTTATGAACAGAACAACGTTACTTGAAGGCAAGAGATGAGGCGACTGTTCTGAACACTACACACTTGTCTACTGTAGACTATGACACTACTACTGATGAGTCTGTTGTGTTCTCCGGAAATAACTCTTGCATTCTCAGCCCAGAAGTCACCCAGGGCCCTTACTGTAAGTTGAAGTTCCATCTCCATCCAACAATATCAACAAATTCTGATCCCTAAACTCAGACGTCTCTGGTGAATATGTCCGAACAGACATCGTCGAAGAACAAGAGGGAGTTGATCTCATTCTCGATACCCAAGTAATTGAAATGTCTACCTGCGATCCCGTCACCAACGCCTTTGTCGAGATCTGGCACTGCAACTCTACCGGTGTATACAGTGGTATAGTCGCCTCAACTAACGGCAACTCCGCCGATGCCGCCAACATCAACGCCACTTTCCTCCGCGGTCTCCAGCCAACCGACTCCGAAGGTGTCGCTCAATTTCAAACTCTCTTTCCCGGTCACTACACCTCTCGCTCGAATCACATCCACGTCCTCGTTCACTTTAACGGAACTACCTATGAAAACGGTACCTATGGTGGTGGTGTCATCTCCCACGTGGGACAAATGTTCTTTGATCAAGACTTGATTACTCAAGTTGAGGCTGTTTCTCCATATAGCACCAACAACCAACCAACAACTTTGAACTCTGAAGATAGCGTTTTGGTTGATGAGGCTGCTTCCTCTGATCCTATGATTAACTACTCGCTTTTGGGTGAGACTGTTGCTGATGGTATCTTCGGATGGTTGGCTTTCGGTGTTGATGTTTCGAAGTCTTACAACGTTAAGCCTGCTGCTAGCTTGTACTCCAGTGGTGGTGTTGAAAACTAGAAGGCTGTAGAAGGCGGTGATTGATTATTGATGAGATCAGTCCTAAGGAAGATGGTGATTTAGCGATGTTTTATTCGATGTGTTAGCGAAGCAAGTTATTCTGTTACATTCAATTACATTCAAGTACAAACAAATTGAAACTTAACTCTGACCCAATGTCTCCATATGTCGTCCAAATAATTGATGGTATGTGCCCAGGAGTATCTTTGCTTGATTGTATGCTTTATTCTATGCTTAATTTATCCGGACTTCTAACATGATACCTTTTTCGCTGAATTCCTCAACAAATTTACAGGGGATTTGAATTAGACCTGTTTGGTTTTAATTTGAGTCTGTGAATACGGGGCATCGAAAGATTCTATTGAAATATTATTTTTCATGTTGATTTTCCAGTAAAGCATGAATTATGTTTCCCACTCCTCGAGTATGGAAGCAAATCCAAATCGATATGAGGGTGGATCGCAGTGGGTCTATCATCCTGAAGATTTTTTTAGCTATATAAAAGAAAAGACGGAGCGTGAAATCAAACTTTTCACATAGGCAGAACAACTGTTGACATTGTTCCGAGCATGTGCACACTCTGCGGCGTGTGTTTCAATATATCCGGCTACTACCCTGGTGGTATCATGATGAAGGGACTGGTTAATCTAGCCATCGTCACCTGAGCCTATAAAAATGTATGGTCATTGCCGAATGTCACATTCCGTTGTCTATACTTCTCCTTTTCGTTGTCATTCATCTATCCATATTAGATGCGAGTCGAAATATACGCCCAAGTCATCTTTTCCCTACAATTCTCGCGAGCGTACTTCCTCAAGCGCAATCTTGATTGAATCAACAAGATATAGACGACGAAAACACCGTTGTATGCTTCTGATTTTATAAATACAGTCTTTCAACAATCGTATGGAATTGATCTCGAGAAGCGTGGTGGTTTCATCAAAGATCAGCTACTAAACCGACTTTATATACAACCCTGCAAAGCAAGTCACCACGTGCGTCTCAATAGCATGGTGAGTATCACAACTATCTCAAGGTCTCGCTATTTGACAGCCAAGAAACCTTCCTTTGAAATTGAAAGTATCAAACACATGCTTTGAATGGATAGTCAAATTTGCTTAAGGAGTTGCCGAATTTCTTCAGGCTACGATGGAGCGAGAGAATGCTGGTTCTTATTATACTCCGAGATAGCAGATCGATTTCTCATCGAGAATTAAGTCTAAATACTCATTTCATGTATTTCCCTAGGTGTTGATGAACAGTTTACTGAGAAATGATAACAACAACAATAATAATGATATTGATAATGAAAATATTATACTTAATCAAAGTTGAGTACCTGCCGGAGAAGATTTACAATGCTTGATTACGGCGGATTGTTTTTGGTTGGATGTGTAGTACGATCAGTGGCAGAATCTGGTACCAATATATTCTAATTACACCCTTATGCCGAGCATGCCATTCTGTGGCGATATCAAACGAATGCACGGCTGACAATTCTCAGAAAGATCATCGTTGGTGCAAGAGTAGGCAGGGTTTTTGTGATCTTACATTTGTATACTACACAAAGGTACGAAGTTTCCAATCTAATTCTACAGGTTGTAGAGGTCACGAGCGAGTATCCTAATAAATCCCATTCTCCATTCAGCCAAGAACTACGACAACCGAATCAAGACATTCTCCAAACCTCTGCATCAACTCTCCACCCCCAATAATCATGTTTGCTTTTTTCCAAGGGCATCAAGAAAGGCCACGGACCTTTTCTTAGCACATAATTTTCCAACAGTTTCGCAAAGGTTATGTCTGTCCCCGGAACAGTATTCGAATTCCAGTCATATATGTTTTTTCTATTGTCACACGTCAGAAGTTCGAATTTCTGGAGTAAGAGATTATCTCTCAACGAGGTAAGCATTTCTTTTCATTGGAATCGTGTGAGATGATTCCAACCACTACCAGGTCCGCATCCATATCCTCCGCTAAGACGCAATTTCCTGAGAGTAGACTGATGTCGCTCGAGAAATGAAATGAGAAGGGGTCCTGGAATATCTGTTTGATGAAGACGAAGACTTTCCAAACGAGGGATTGTGATGCTATAAAAGTAATTTTTCCACGCAATCTGAAAGTCTGGTGTCATGTTTGTAGAAAGATTCATTACAAACATTAAGTCTAATCTCCGAAGACGCTGAGCTGAAATCAAAAGGTCAGTGATTTTTTGAGCGACGAGCGAATCCTGCCAGGATATAGATCCATAGTCGCAGAATCCAATGGATAATTGCTCAAAAGGGGTGACTAGACCACTGAGAGATCTATATGAATGGCCAGAACACTCAGATAAAAGACAAAGTCGATGCAGAGAGGGTTGTAGGGGAATGAAAGGATGAGAACCCAGTTCTTGGGATGACAAGCAATCCATGGGTAGACAATCAAATTCAACGGATGAAAGAGCCACACCAGCCGCATTGATTGCTGCTACTATCGAAGTGTAATACCATTGAGACAAATCATCCGCTACAAATTGTGTTCGCTCTTCTTCAATTGTCGAGTTCCAACTGGGAATCCATGTTGACGTCGATTGAAACATATCATCCGAAAGCGGATAACTAAGTGAGGTGACCGTGAGGCTTTTGAAATTAGGAAGACTACTGAAAGCTTTTGCCAAGTGAACGGGATCACAGAAGCCAGATTCATTAGCGATTCGTTTCCGAAGAATCTCTCTCACATCTGAAAAGTAAAAAATCCATTTTCTCGCATCACTCGAATCTAGAAATATGATTATCGAATTGATTGTTTGAGCTAGATGCGGGCATTCGGACACTTTGCGCAGTCTATCCATATCTGTTAGTTGACAATGAGGGTGAAGTTTGAAGCCATCTCGGAATAGTCTCTCGGTCCCGGTTATAGCCCAAGCTCGAGATATCAAGGTAATTAAAAATGTGTGCTTTGATTTCAGATGGGAGACCTAGGTCGAGAAGGGGGTCGAGACTGAGATTTGAGGTTGCGCGTACTTCTTCGCTTTTTAGCGGTCTTTGTGATGTTGATCTTTGGAATTGTTGTGCGTTCATCAGGGCAGGCATTAGTTAGAATTGAGGCACAAACAATAAAAATAGATGATGATAGAACAAGAGTTGATAGAAGTAGAGTGAACATAAGCATAACAAAATTGGGAGCACAAAGGATTCTGTAGAGTTTAGGAATGTAGTTGAAACGAACAAAATTCGATTCACTAGACAGGCCGAAAAATGAAAGGAAGGAACGATCAAGAAATCAGATTAATGCCAATACCACTGGTATATTGTAGATAGCCCTGCGATATCTTTTGAACTACTTTGGGTCTAAGATGCCACTAGTTGATGAGAGTATCATCAAGGCAAAAACATACACCAATTTCCCTAAATACGAATTACGCGAAACTCATGAACGAAAAGCTTTCGACGAAGTATCATTGATGAAAGACACCACCTCCAAAACCAAACGCTCATACTCGGACAACCTAGCCTATATCCATGGCATTTTTACTGTTCCCCATTATTTTCAAATATAATTGCTCGGATGTCGATATATTCCGCAAGTTTCCCAAGATCCCAATCGATATCAAAATGCCAAAACTCCATTGCCCCGTGATGGTATTCGTTTGTCATCGCAAGCTGCCCAATGTCCAAAATAACCCGTGACTTTGCGATAATTCCTATTATTCACAATTCCAGCAATAACTTCACATCACGCTACAACCACAACAGCAAGCTGCCGCACATCCTGCACAACATCCTAAAGCGACATCATCTTTGTTGTGTTTCTTCTCAACCTTTTGTTGCTGAACATATACCACTTCCCTCGGTCCTCCCTTTCCATCAGTCATTAGGTATGTAGGTTGAGGTTGGGCTGGCGCCTTGTATTCGTATTCTTGAGTGTAGACCGGTGGCATATTTGCGACATCTGCTGGTTCACGATCCCAGAGACTTTTTTGTGGCTGTTGAGGTTGCTGTGCCATTTTCGACTGTGAATAATAATCGTAAATCTGTTGGTTTTCCGCTGGTGATTGGGTTGATGAACGCGGTCTGGGGGTTGACATTTAGATATTGAAAGGTCTGACGTTGAGTTCATTCCCTATCCCCGCTCCAAGTCTTTATGATTCACTTCAATCTTCCCTGGCTGTGATATCGTATGTTTGTGAGTCAATTAAGCAGCCAGATTGCATTCACTTCCAGCATGAAAACGAAACGAGCAACAGCAAGGAGGTTAATACTTATTCATTTCATTTCATTCCATGATCTTATTCTCACCCAACAATAGGCTGAGGAGGAACCTGACTTGTGTCCCTGCCGGACAACTCAGCCTCTTGCCATATCCAATCATGAAGGATGATGATCAAAAATGAGGTTGCAGGCAGTGCCAAGCAATTTTAGGAAAAGGATCAGTTGATATGGTGCAAGGATCTTACATAAGCAAGTGAGGTTGATTACTCGATCAGACCACAATACCATCCTTTCTTCAATAACAAGTATAAAATTCACACGACGAAGAATCCTTCATAGAACAAATCAAACTCTTTTGTCCTTCTAGAATATCTGAATAAGGGGGGAGAATTCATCTAAACTCTAAACTATCGACGCCAATCGCGACTCCACTCCGAACTATTAGTTGTCGATCAATGCGGCTTGGCTTCTATTCATCGACCTACATTTGCTCTAAATATTTTATTGGTCTTAGGTTTCCCGTCATACAAAAATAGACATGCCGCCTCGAGGTCCTCGACTGCAATTCAAGCCACTTTTCTACCTCATCGCTTTCCCTCTGCTCATATTGAGCGTTCGAAAGCCTCACGTTCCTTCCCACAAGAAGGTATAAACATTGTATCTTCGTAGGGTATACGGAGACCGAAATAGATCGTGCATAAGGCTGAGGGGGCGATATTTGGATAAGGATGAGGCTCATAGTCTAGGATGTGTTTTGAGATGAACCGCTGTTGGACCCAAAACACACGATGTGTCAGCCTCAGCCTTTTGACCCCACAATTTAAGACTTAAGTTGTTTCCTAGACCGGGTCAAATAGTTGGTCTGAACCTAAACCCAAATGGTTGGTACGAATCATGGCTAGGCAATCTAAATTCTACTTCGGACGTGTTCCTTCACCTGGGCTATGATATAGTTAGGCATGGCGAGAGGGTAGAAACATCCCCAAAAGCAGCTTAGTATAGAACCAAACCTGTTGGACTTCCGACGTCGATTATACCGAGTTCCAAATGCCACGGCGATGCTTATGCTACGAGACAAATCTCATATGCCTTGGAGCGTGGTGTTCAGCTCCAAAAACGACCTTTCAACAAAAATCATCCCCAGTCTCAGCTCCACGACATCAATTTTCAAGTCCAACATCGAAAAGAGATATGACGCTAGATTGCACTTCAATCACCTAGTAGTAGTTTGTTAGGAGATATGGTGTTTTATCACGAGACACGAGTTGAGTAACGAAGTTATGCAACGAAAATCTACTCCTTCTGCTTTGTTGCAAATTTGGGCTTGTCAAGGAAAGAAAGCTTTTCCTTTCTGTGTTCCTAGCTTCGATCGTGAGACTTCTCTTCTTATTCTCATCGCTGCCTTTCCCGATTCATGTTTGTATGGAGGTTAAATAGTAGCTTGTTTCAACAGGGGGCACCTCTTCATCCCTTCGAGTGCAGAGCCGTTGGTCTATTCTTGCGTGGGGGAAATTCATTGCCGGATTCACCCTATTAACGTAAGGCTCTAAATTATCAAGAAATACTTAAATGGCTTGAAGTGTTGATATCATTGTGAATGTTAATGAACTCCGAATATTGAATACTTTGTCTGATCCAGTAACCCAGATCATTAGATGTCCCGGTTTTATGTAAAGTCTCCCACCCGCACTCATATTACCTTCCCATAGTAGAGTTTGCGCTGCGGTTGTCACTTTGGAGCCTGGATGTCAGGTTCACTATTTCTTTTCCCATTTTCCTATCGGTCGCTATTGTACACGTGAGCCCTCAAAATCTATCTCAAATATACTGCATCGTTCTAATGTACCACTTTTTTTCGGTATACTACTTCTGCTATCAGACTACTCTCCTACATTATCGTCGATCTGGGAAGAATTTTTGCCGGCACTTGTTATCGTTGTCGCTAAACAACTACGTAATTTCATCCCATCCGGAGAATTTATATTTGCTACGTTTTGTCGAAATACTGATAATGAAGATCAAAATAGATTCATGCTTTTTTTTCGCAGAAGACAAACAAATCCCAGATTCGAATTCGCTTGGAAGTATGTTCACTCAAGACTACTAGCAGGATGGTATTTTCAAATCATTCTCAAAAGGAGTCCAAGCATGTAATAACGTTGCTCTTATATCATCATACGGTTGGCCTTTGTTTGATGTAGCATCAGATACTATTTATACCATTACTGGAAGACTGTCTAGTCTCCGTTCCTTATCTAGCCCTTAGTATCGGTTTATGTTGCTTCTACCGAATTTTCGTGAAGCAGTGTATATATTATGTCAGCTATAGATAGACTGAATCAATTGTAAACTTACTACTACTACTACTACTACTACTACTACTACTACTATGTCATGTTGCTGGGAGCTCGCCATAACGGATACCTCTAGACATCCAGGAGAAGTACTGCTAGGAAATAACTTCTAATGTCTACCATTCGATGCGACGATAATCCTGGATTAGATGTCCACAGTTCCCATTTCAGCATGTTCAAAAGGAAATTCTCAAACGCCGTCGAGGTCATGCGGTTTTTGTCGTTGTTGAAATCATTTCATCATTGTGAATTTCTATTAACACGTCGATTTTACCGTCTATGCAACTACTCTTAGACCTAAAGCTGCGTTGAGGAAGAGGAAGTTGCACGGGTCGCTACATTCACAATTCCTTAGTATTGTCATAAAAAACTCTTTCGAAGTCTGCCGCGCCTGACTAGTCGATAGAGTCCCTATATATTTTTCACTCGAGAAGGGTATATAAAGCGATTGTGACATGGTGATTTGCTATGCATTTCCGTTGAAGAAAAGTGATGAGGATTATTGTTGTCAACCTACTCAGAAAGAGTGGATCCGACAATAACCATACAGTCCATACAACGACAATAAGAAGAAACCCAAGACGAAAATCAACAACAATAAAGCAGCAATGAAAAGTATCCAAAATGCTAACTCAAGCCCGAATCCTATCCAAAACACAATCAAACACTCGTTGAAACTCACGCCCAGAATCCTCAGAAAAAGTACGTCAATTTCCTGAACGAGTGCCATTTTTCATCACTTGTATATATCCGTTTTTCTTGGTGGAAGGATGAAGAGCTCGAGTTAGTTCTCTGGAAGCCTTATATACTTAGATATGTAACTCTTGGGAAATTATTTGGGAAGCTGAGGCGAGGAGTGGAGTAGTTGTGGAGCGAGCACGATCGAAGAGTTGATGTAATATAGGTATAGCGGTAAGGACAGTATATGATTGCTGGTGATTTATTGACTGCATAACCTGTAGATGTAGAATGCAGAATATCGAGTAAATCATCGAGATAGAAATAGATACTTGGAAGAGTGATATCTCTATGAGTTCAAAATATTTTAGAATATGTTTCTGGGTAGAATTTAGAGTAAATCACTAGGTGCCAGAGACTTCTCCTATACTTTCGATTCGAAATCTTACTTGTTCGATATCGAGTATTGAAGAAAGTCTGTGTGTTGAGAGTATCTTTCATTTCGTCAATTTGGAGGCCGAATGATGCGGGAGTATGACTAGGAAATTAGGAGTAGATGTCTGAAGTTTGAAGGCCAGTGATAGGTGAAGATTCAGGAATATTAAAGAGATGGCGCAAAGGCTGGGGGCTGGGTTCATTCACGTCTTTGTGCTCTCAGAAAATCTATAGGGTTGTCAACTAAATAACAGAAGCCACAACTTTCTCTGGTAACCTTATCTCGTTTGTAAACGAAAGTTCGCGCGATTCAAAACATAAAACTTGAGGTCAGATGTGCTGCACATGATGATTTTGTGTTACATGCTATATTTACACATGATTTACATCGTCTTATACACTTTACTTGTGAAAGATCGAATTTAATCAACTAACTTTCCGTAGAAAGGAACACCCATAGCGCTAAGCAAAAGTCTGGCATGACGATCGGATGTTGCGGTGGTTTTGACTGTAACGTGGAATCCAGGAATTAACCTAGGGGGATACATCTGGAAAATCTGTGTTAGCTTTTGAAGTACATGCAAACGATCAATATAAAACTTACATCGTAGTTGACCTGAACTTCCGGGAACAAAATAGTTCCTTCTCTATTGAAACCAAATGACAAGTTTCCACTTCCATCTCCAGTTGAGCCTATCTAAATTAGCATTCCTTCTATCACATATCTGCCGAAGAAACTCACCCTTTACACCTTGCCAATCCTTAATTTTTGGGAATACCACATTGATACACTTATCAAGGAACTCCAATGCATCGTTATTTCTCATAGTACAAGTTAGAGAAACTGGCATGCCCTTTCGAATACCGAATTGTGCGACGTTGTGTGTTGATTTGTGAATTTCTGGTCTCACACCGGTAATTGATTGTAGTAAAATACCAGCGACATGCATGTATGCGGAATCTCCAAGTGCACCCTTAACCATCGAATGAACAGTAACCTCTTCGATCTTAGGAATGTTGCGCCAAGTAATATCTTGTTCGATGAGACGTAAAACATCTCCACCACGAGGACCTCTCTTTGGTCTACCTTTATGATATGGTGATGAATCGTCCCATGTTCTTAAACGATCGGCTTTAGGAATTGTGACGGTTCCAGGTGGTTTATGAACGTATGCCATGGTCATAATGTCGTGCGAGATGGTTGATTTATAGGTTTGTTCGAGACGATTGGGACCGAATGGACCGGGAACGAATTCTCGAGAGGAAGGATCTGATTTTGGTGGAGGTTGATGAGGATGGAGGGGACCTCGATAGTATCTCGGTGATCGAAATTGGTATCTATAAAAGGTATAAGCATTGCCCCTCTCTCTCATGGAATCTGTCGCAGTCATACCGACTGGAAGGAAGTTCTCTCTTCCGCCCTTGTGCCCTCTTTACAGGGTCATAAGTCTCAATTACTTCATTTGGCACCGATGTGGAAGCAAATGAAGACTGCGATTCGAGGTCCTGGAAATCTTCTGGACTCTCTCTTGCGGCAACAGCTTCACCAGATGCATATCTGCGACAATTCCTCCCTATCGATATTGGTGATGATCTTATTTCCCTCCTCGAGAATCGACATAAAGTCGACGGTAGTTCTCGTAAAGCCATGTCGTTTGGGTATATGGAGGGATATTTTGATTAACCCTCCCAACAGCAACATCAAAAAATATCTCGATGTATGCCTTAACTTCCCGCATCAGGCAACAAGATCTCCAAAGTAAATCTTGCTTATCTAAGACATTCTGAATTATGTCCAAGAAGCAACAAGCCAGTGCGCGTGTTGATTGATTGGTTGACGGATCTTTGAACAGTTCCCAAGCCCCATGCACGTGTCATGCAGCAAGGATTAGCATTATCATTTATCGTCCGACCCTTATAAAAAAAGTTCGGAGAAAGTTCCATTTAGCACCGAGGGAAGGATCACCAAGATTCTACGCAGTACGAGCGAGCGAACTACAACAGGTGTGGAGTCGAGATTACCTAGTGGTAACCACTCCATGAAATCGAAGAAGCAACAACTACGACCATAACCACAACAACACCCGCTTTTGCTTCAAACTTTCTCTACCTACACTCAAAATAGAATACAAAAACGGTCACCAGATTCACACTCTTCAAAGTCTAATAAGACGCCTCGAACTCATCTGCGAAAGGTCCCAAAAAGCAACCAATCACTCATTCACTTCGTCTTCGGAATATGGAGTATACCAATCCTTCCCAACGTTGAATCGTATCCCATTTCTACTCGTACACAATTCGAATCAACAATCAAAACTCAGGGTCCTATTATTCCAATCATTTGACCGATCACTTCACAACAATAATATTCACAAACGGGCCTCTTCGGAAGCATCACGAACACATCCTTCATCATGAACAAATTTGGCGGCAGAAAGGATAAAGATAAGGAAACTTCACACAAACGAGATAAATCAAGAGACAACAAGTCGGCCGAAAAATCTACCGAGAAGAAGGTAATGCGCCTGCGACATCCATATCTCCTTACTTGATCTTCCAGGCACTCGAGGCGGGGAAGGTTGGCAGTTACTCATAAAGCCGCTTTCTCGTGGCGCATTTCCGATGCAATGATGACACGACGACAGAATCCTATATTCACCATTACTAACTTGTTATTCTTGTTTATCCTAGAGTCGATCAGTTTCCGACATTTTCACCTCATTGTTTGTTCATATCAGAAATTCGAAGTCGGAGAAGGAACAAGATGAAGACCAGGAAAAGGTTGGACTAGTTCACAACTACTCGGACAGCTTGGCTAATGGAACAATAGATTTCTCGGATCAGAAGCTTATTGGAATCCGATGGACACAATGATGTGAAAGACGATCAAGTTCTGTTTTGTCTCAATTCAATTTATGCCAATGGAAATGTCGAGAAAGCACATCAAATTTTGCTAGTGTTCCATAACTCGCTCTCCGGGGTCATATATCCATATGATCCAAAAATAACAATGCTCGGAGCACAGAATTCTCGTGGAGTTACCTGTTGGCTGGATTCTTTTCTAGCTTCATTGTTTACAGTCCCTACTCAATTTCAAGAACTACTCAACAACTTCTACGAAGATCCTCTCAAACAAAACCTGATCCAATTGATTAGATTATGGGTAAACCTCATGAGATCGGGCATTTTGATTGAAGTTAACATCGTTAGTTCTGCCTTCCATATACTTGATGAACTTGCTAATTCCAAACAGACCGAGCGCATCCTGGATAGTTTGATCGAATGCGGCTGGGACGACTTGGATAAACTCAAAGAGCAAGACCCGACTGAGGCACACATGAAGATTGGAGATATTCTCGATTGGCCAATGCTTGACTTAAGAGTCGATTATGAACATGGTGGTATCCGCGAAAAGGATGATCATAGAACCTCGAAAGAGCGGACGCTTCCAATCTCCATTTCAACCGATCATGAGGGGCCAGGTCGTTTGCGGCTCGAAGAATGTATTGAACGGTCCTTGTTGTCTTTAGTCAAAATTCAAAGACGCGTCGAACCCGACGATGACGACCGAAAACCAGTCCCAGAACACGTGGAGACCGCAGAAGCCGAACCTAATACTGACAAAAAGCCAACCTCAGAACATGTCGAGAACACAGAAGCCGAATCGGACACTGTATCTCCAGGCCACGTGGAGATGAATGGCCAGTCATCTTCCCAAAACCATCTCACTCGGGAGGTCACACATGATGGAGGGTCATTAAACCGTACGACGAGTCGCATGTCTACGCGTAAAGAAAGAGAAGTCGACGCGTTTATATTATCTAAGCTGATTCGTCCGTCCAGCAGTTGGTCTCCGATTTCTTGCCATTTAAATTCAAATATTGCTCCACTTAAGACCGTACCTGTACTAATTGGTGATATAGTTTGGTTTTCTAAACCCGCTCCTGCAAACAATCGAGAATTCGTTGAACGGATCAAACAAAACCATAATCCAATGCTAGGATTTGATTTGAAAAGATATCACAATGTGGAGGGACCAGACGGCAAAGAAGTTCTGAAAAAGAATAACACCCATGTTGATATCCCAAAGAAAATGAAACTACCACCACACTTGGTCCATGAATATGAAGGTTCAAACGAGGTAGCAATCTCGGATTGTTTCGAGCTGGTACTTCGATCGATGATTTGCCACGAAGGATCACTCGAAAGTGGACACTATAGATCGCTAATTCGCTTAGATGTGGAGACCAATGGTGGCTTGGATTCTGTACAACCGAAAGATGGTCAACATCCACCAGCTTATGTTGATGACTGCTGGATAGTTCACGATGACATTGCAAAGGGGGGGCGAGTAGCCAAAGTAGACATTGATGCAGCTCTGAAGCAGGACAGCAAATACGGAATGCCAGTCACTTTGTGGTATGAATTTGTTCCCATTCTGGCGAACCTTTCCCCAGAAGATTTGGCAAGATTTTCAGACAATACGACACCTCCATCGTACACATATTCTTCTGTTCCAAGTATAGATGTACAGATTTCCAAGGCCAGCCCAGATTTAAACAGTGGCAGCGGCGATGACGAAGGATATTTTACCCCACCACCGAACGATCGTTCGAACTCTGTTGTCAGATTTTCATCCGAGATTGATCGATCCCGTAGAAGTCTCAATCTTCCTGATGATGACAGAAGAGGAAGCGTTGCGGCCACGGATGCGAGTAGTGTCAGCGTTGAAAAATCAGACAACGAATCAGCTCCTGCTACGCCAGGTGAGGAGCCGGTCAGTGCCAGAACTTCAAGAACATTTCGGAGGAGCAAGGCATCTCGGAGTCGACCACCAAGTTCCTCGAACGAAAAACCCGAAAACCGTAGGTCATACTTTAAAGACTTGATTACACGGGCAAGTAAAGAGTCTTTACAAAAGCCAGACACGAGCAAAGAATCTATACCTGCTGTGCCTGCTCTGCCTAGTCTAGGATTAGATGGTCCTGTCGACTCTAGTACTAATGGAGATCTCGCGAAACCTGCTGAGACAAGTGGTGGAATATCCCGTAAAGGCAGCAAGAAGGGTAAAAGGCGAAGCAAGGATACCACGGACATGGATGCCAAAGATAAGGACAAAAATTCGGATCATTCAGATAGAGTTTGTAATATTATGTGAAAGGAGTTGAGTAAAGGCATTCTCAAGGCGTCTGGATATACTAAGAAAGTTTTATGATTTTGGAGGAGACCTACATTATGGTCGATCCTCATACATTGGTGACGGCGTTTGAGAGGTACATTCTGTTACCATTCATTATGGTTATGGTCAGGGAATGTGGATTTGGACATGGGCTTCGGTTTTAAAACGGGGTTACGGTCGTTATTAGTGAGTAAATATAACAGAATTTTGCAGCCTGCTATAGGATGCGATTTTTTAGAGGGTCGAATCAGATTATATCATCTATTCCAACCAAAGTATAGGTCAAAAGCACAATGTCCAGAAAATTGGGGCGTGGGAGATCAGTATCAATGATCGATTTCATAATGGGGAAACCTATTGCGTGCTTATAGAATCCAACCTCATCAAGGAAAGGAATTAGAGGTCAGGATGGGATTATCAATAGAGAGGACAGGGTTGGGTATAGATAGAACTTTGGGGCTGGTTATGATAGAAATGATACAGCATTACACATATATAGCGTTTTCGAACACATTATCTGAGACCCTGTTTGTATTCAGTGATTGTTGATCCGCGTTATGACATTTTGGGAGGGAATAGGACGGGCTGACATATTAGATGATTATATGAGATAAGGCTTCCTGATATTGAATCAACTCACCAAACATATATCTTTTATGACTGATGCATTTTGGCCATTCGAGGACAACATTACTCCCAAAGAATTCGAAGATCTTAAGGGATGTAATTGTGAGCTCTGTTGAGATTCTAAATAATGAGTTCTTTACTCTTCTGTTTTCCTAATGTATTCTGTTTTCCTGGATGGGAATTGTGTCTGGAGAGTTTTGTTGCATATCGCATTTTTCCCGCGTGGTCTACTCCCTTCTGTTTTTCTAACATCTTTTATTCTATTGGGTGGGAACTGTATCTGGAGAGTTTTGTTGCATATCTCATTCTTCCCGTGATTTTTATTGATATAACAGTATTTTTTAGGCCTTGGCATTACAAAAACTTGAAGTGAGCCTAGGCTAGTTTTCCAATCTGGAAATAATCACCTAGGTAGTAATAGTAAGCGGGTGAATATATTGAGTTAAGACTACTATTCTAATTTGGAAACAGTTACCCACTTAAATAGTAACAATGAGCGAGTGAATATGCGAATAGGGAATATACTGTCGATATGAAGAATACTATGGTGAGGATGTTCTCGATTGAGTATCATCTAGGAGTAAGTAAATATGAACGATACGACTTTTGTGAATGCATATACAATCTTAGATCCATAGCATTAATAATTCTACACCCCTTCCACATCTATAGAACCGATTCCTTCCTTCACCATAAACGAAAGCCAAGACATCAAGGTGAAGTGACTAGATCATCGGTAATAATATTAAAACAGACGATGTATTTATTTCCGGGAAGTTAAAGTGGGAAAGTGACGTTTAACGGGTTTTTGTAGATCATTTTTTGAGTTCTCGCTAGTTTTCGCGAGAAGAGACTAACGAGAACTAGCGAGTTTCTTTTTTAGTGCGTGGTATTAGTGTGATTGATGATGATTATTGGTTATGTGATGTGGGGTGTTTGGGATTTGTTATGATCTGGGAGGATTTTACGGTATGATTTCATCGGGGTGAGGATTTTAGGGGGTTGGGGAAGAGGTTGGTTAAGTGATGGTGGTTGATGGTGGATGCTTGATTCTTGACTAAGGGGGCCGCTCCGGGAAAATTCTCCGGAGATGTGCAACAATTGAATTTGTTTGCAGGTTTCGGGTTTGTTATTGGTTATATATCATATTCCAGCTAAATGTATGTACTCAAATGTAGGTTCTTGATTCAATTCATACTTTAAACAATTGAAAGTTTAGCGTCTTTGTATCTTCTTGGCTGGCGAGAATTCTCCGACGATATGCAACAAATTCATAGATTTGGGGGGTTGAAAGCTTGCTATTGGTTGTACATGTCTCTCTCCTACACTTGAATGTCTTAACATAATGTTTAAGCTTTTAATGGTTGAAAATTGGCTTTTCTGTATACTTCTTGGCCTGCGAAAATTCTCCGGCGAAATGCAAAATAAGGATGGTTTGTAGGTCTGTTTGTGCATTATTGATTGTTCGAAGTCTTTCTATCCTGTCTCGCTTTGTACTATCCACTTTGGAGGATGAGGTATCAAGGACCTGGTTTCCTTGAATACTCTATGGTGCAAATTGTAGGTATTGCTTTTTAGGGCGTAAAGTTCCAATGGCCATGGTAGCCAGTGAAACATCAGGGATTTTAAAGGAAATGGTTGTAAATTTAAGCTAATTGGAGATTGTTGTGTACTCGTATACCTGATTTATTCTTTCTTGTGTCTCAATGTATTACCTGAAATAGTTATTTGGTGCTATCGCCTCGAGAAGAAGAAACATGATCATGATGAATTAAGGTTCGGGGTGAGTAGATCATGAGATTCTTTCATATTATCAAACGTCATGATGGACCACCCTATCTATACTTGGTTGCAAGGACTATGGCTGCTTCTACAACTTTCGATAATCTTCTTTTATCCTGACACTAAATAACGAGATATTTTGAATTTATATTTGTGCCGTGCGTCTTGAATCTCAAGCTTTATATGACTGAATATATGCAAGAATTGAAAGTTGGAAAATCTTATGTTCATCAATAACATCATCTGTTTGAGTGATCTTTTGAGCTATGTATCGAAACCAAAAACTTGTTTCGAAGATTTTTGTGAGTTATCACATTGCGAGTAAGTATTGCTTCCTTCAGACAACAGTAAACAGTTGAAGCATGAGGATTGGAGGAAATAAATAAACTCTAACATGATATAAATTTGACCAAAGTAGGAGATCCTTCTTAGACACTCTTGGTATGATGTAGAACCGTCTCTAAGAAGCTAGTGAATGAGCAGCAATCACGCTAGCTCATTGTATCTCTCCAATAACATCTCATAGATATAACAAATTCCTTTTGTTGCACATCTAAACTTCATGCATAATGACATAAATTATCATTCGAGATGTATCTTTAGCTTCAGTATTCTAGTGCTTCATGAAATTCTTCCAATAGAATCCCATTAAAACATAGGAATCGTTTTGTTGCACATCTAAACTTCATGCACAATGACATAACTTATCATACAAGGTGTACTTTTAGCTTTGGTAATTCAGTATTCTATATAATTCTTCCAGTAATATTCCATAAAAACATAGAAATCCTTTTGTTGCACATCTAAGCTTCATGCACAATGACATAACTTATCATTTAAGAAACTTATCATTTGAGATGTATGTTTAGCTTTGATATCCTAGTGGTGTGTAACATTTCGCCAATGATGTCCAGAGAAGCACAAAAGTCCTTTTGTTGTACAACTAAGCTTCATGCATAATGACCCAGCTTATCATTCGAGGTATATCTTTAGCTTCGGTATTCCAGTAGTATGTAACATTCTTCCAATGATATGATAAAGAAGCACGAAATTCGTTTTGTTGCATATCTGATCTTCCCGTGTCCATGGATCTGTTTGGAAGGGAAAGAATGATTGGTTCAATTTGAACTGGCGGTGCGATTGATGTAGTTCCAAAACGCCTAGGCATTCTACTACTTTATGATATCTATCCAGTGATTTCTCAGCAAGGAATGGATAAAGTTGGAGCTCATCTAATCTTCCCCTACGATTTGTTAAGCTGTCTATTCATACATCTCTTACTTATCTCAAGGACCATCCAAGGTACTGTGAATAATGATATGGAACAACTCAATTTGGCTATATTCTCTTCTGGAAGTAAAAAGCTAAAATCTAGGAATCTAATTGGAGTGAGATACGCCGTGATAACTAAGTTTTCTAGTCAATATCAGAGCATGGTAAGAATAGCCTGGGTCTGAATTTAAGTTTACTTAGTTTGATATAAAACCAATGAGCCAATAGATAGCGAGCTGACCTATCACAAGAGTACATCCAAGAAACACTATACATGTTCCAGCATTCTATTACATAATTCAATGTATTTGTTGCACGTCTGTAGTTTTGTGGCTTGCGCTACTTATTAAAATTCTGGAGAAACACCAATGATGAAGTGTTGGATATTGTAGATCAAGTAGTGTGATCAGTATGAATTCTCTACTTCTGGGCATTTAATGTTCGTGCGGAGGGTAGATCCTCGTATAATAAATCCGTGGTCATGATGATTGCGCTTTACAGGCTGGGTCATTGATTAGAATTGAGATCAAAGATAATTAACTAATTTGACATGAGACATCAAGTCTCAATAACCCTTCTGAGGGGCAAGAAATGTGTGTTGTTGCTAATTTATACATACTTCCGATCTTTTGAGGCAATGAAGATATGAATGACAGCTCCAGGCGGAATTTTGCTTGCTCAGAAAGTATTTTCTCAGTAATATTGGCCATTATATCCTCAAGATCAAATGAAGTGGAAGACAGACGTTGGTCTTATTTAGATGAGCTCGTAATATTCACCCGAGATCAATTAGGTTAATCTCATGTAGTAATAGTTACTTGGCTTGTCAATCATGAGATGAGCCTAATTTTTCCAGAAAATACTCTTTCCTTTAGCTATATTCGGGTTTTAAATGACTATATCCAGCTCAAACACCATCTGCCTTTTGGTCTTTCTCATGCTGGTTGCTGTCATTGATACTCTCATTTTCACTCTCAACCTGGCTTGCACAGTCGCTTCTATCTTCATACTCATTACTTTCATCAATACTCTCCACCTCGCTCTCAAACTCGCTACCGTCATCATTTGTATGCTCGTCCTCGCATTTGCACCCACTTTCACCATCACTTCCATCATTTCTGACTTTCTCCAAACACGAACATAAGTCTAACTCACCGATCTCGACATCGTACCTACCGAACTGAGGCTCAGGCGGACAGTGCAGGAAGCAGAAACATTTACAAGCTAATCCTCGACGCCGTATAGAGCTTATATGGTCAAATTTTTGTTCGCCGTCTATCAAAGGGCCAATTACAAAGGACCTTAAACTCAAAATTGGCATTTTGTGACCCACAAACAAAAATAGTTGTGATCTTAAAATGAGAATATCAGAAAGATTAGAACGAACATCTCAAAATCTGGAGAACGACTGGGTCTCCATATTTCACTAGCCGTAAATTCAGGATAATCTATTAGGCCGGCATCACTCTCCCAGGCTCCAGGCATTTTTGGTTTTTGTAGGGAGTTTGACAACTTGAAACTGCTTTCCTGATCGCGACAGTCATACAACTCGAAGTTGCAAATGATATCTGTAGTATTGAAAGCTTGAAAAATGTGCATATACCCAACCAAACAACCTTCCGTAGCTGGAAAAATCACACAGGAGTCATGATAGTATGATTCTTGAATGACGTAGTCTTGCAGATTATACCCAGCTATTCTCAGTAACCTGAATCATTCCAAAATAATTGAGGGCATTCTTTCTGTTTTTTTAAACATGCGAATAGGAAACACGTCTTTATTTTCAAATAAATGCGATAACGGTGTCCCTAAATACAACTGTTTGTGGTAGATATCAACTCTCATCTCGAGCAGTGCAAAAATCAACGAAATTGTTGAGGTAAGATTGCATGTTGTTTCAGAATCATAAAGGATATTTGATAATAGTCCCAGCGTACTGTGCAAGATGAGCGGGCAGCTAGGAAATCCATTTCTTAAAAGGCGAGCCTCTGAGAATTTTATGCTCTTCTCCATCATGAATTTGATGATTGTATCTGCGAAGCAGTGTGTTCCTGCTTCTATATGGCACTCCAATATAGACACAATGCCATCTTGCGGATCAAGACCAATTGGGAAGCTTTCTTGATTGAGCATGTAGTCGAAAGGTTCGGCCCCACCAGTGTACCAATGTAAGGATGTTTCGCCGACCTTCGACTCTCGCATTGGATCGTATTGTCCAACTTCTATTAGAACTCTAATAGTTTCCATGGCATCATTGTGGCGCCCCTTGTTCTCAACACATTGAAATCTCATTGAAGAAGAGTTACCAACTTCTCTATCGTCTTTATCTACATGGTAACTTGCGATATGTAAAGCTGTCCTAGAGATGAATTTGTCTCGATTATTCTCAAACCCCTAAACTGGTGATGTTGCATACTCTTCTTCATCTATTCCAGTCTCGGTAGCTTGCACTCCTTGAGCGAGTAGCCATCTACATAGTTCTGCACGCAAGTGGAGAGCTGCAAACTGTATTCATCCATTAGGCTTTTGCAAAGGAATATTGGGTGGCAATCTCACGTGTATCAGGTTGTATCCTAGTTGATTTGTATCAAACACACTCGCTTTACCAGTCTATACCAGCTGAAGTATTTTGCCAATATCTCCATTCTTGCAAGCACGGAAAATTGGAGAGTCGTCATGAACCACACGTACGGGTCGAAAAGAACATGTCCAACATCCGAATCGTCGACTCTGTTTAATGTGCATACCCTTGAGTCTCATCCATGCTTTTGGGAGAATCGTTAAGTCGACATCCATATCAACATTTTCATCAGCAATTACTGGGTCAGTATTCAATTCCGCTAAATGTTTCTTCCTATTTTATTGATTTAAAACCGAAGTAGTAGACCAGTAAGAGAAGAATCCGTATGAATTAGCTACTCTACGAATGACAGTTGAGCGACTGCGATTCCACTTGCGACAACGCCGAGAAGTTCTCTCATGGCGATATGCTTTTTTGTTTGTGAACAAATTCACGAAAGAGTAAGAAAGAGATGACATGTCATTTGATAAGATAATGAGGCTTTGGTAGGTCTAATCATGCGGCTCATTTATCAACAATCAAACATTGCTGACGATGCAGACTAAGAGATCCTAACCAGCTTTCACATATAGTTGCATGGCGACAGGACACCGCCTCAGTAGGACTTTTCAATTTGATCAATACAGTTCATTCATCATAATTGCTTACGAAATTTACACATCAAAAGGGCAGAGATGTGGATCACACATATTTCCTCACATTGAACCTTACTTTTCGACTTTGAAGCCCCAAAAGGTCAGAGGATAACGCATAGATTTCTCCATCTTTATTTTAACAATGAGCCTCATGATCCGATTCTCGAAGCTCAATGATTGAAGAACATTCTGCTTAAAAAGTCGCTTTTTGAGCAAAATGATCCAACGATCGATCATTCATTACAAGCATGTTTCACACACTCTCTGTCCCATCCGCAACATTTCAGATACAAATCTAGATTACACCATATCAGTAATAGTTTTTGATTCGCTTGAGAAGTTGCAGCTCAGATTCAAACTATCGGATCGTGGATGCACATCTTAACATTTCTTCTTGGGTCCATTCTTTCCCCTCCAATCATCAAACCCGCTGATTTATACCCTTACATTAACCGCGATGATACTTGATATCTTAATCGGGCGCGCACACAGAATGTTAGAATCCCTCAAATCATTTTGGACAATGAACAATCAATATGTTATCTTGCCTTGAGTGATAGAATCCTAGGTTTAGTTGCCGCCTGGGTATTCAATCAATACTCTTGCCTCTTCATGCTTACGCAGACTCGTCCGAACTGTAGCCACTCGCATGTTCACGCTCAAAGTCTTTCTTAGGTTCTTCTTCTTCTTCAAAGTAATGAGGTTTCGGGCGCTCAGCACGATCTGCCTGTAAGCCTGTGACAATTAGCAGACGCTACTGAAGTGCTAGTATGGAATGCGCTTACTATTATGGTGTACTTCTGGTACTTTTGAAAGTTCACCAGGTGTATCATCATGCTCGTCGACCCCCTTACCTTTATCAGCTCTGGTTGACAAGTCACTCCTACTCTCTGATTCAACACTTCGAATTCCGGCTCTGTTGTCCATTTCTATTCGAGGAGACATTTCTCTTGCTTGTTCCGAAGAAACCGCATTTTGCCCATGTGATAGTGAAGACTTCTGATACTTTCTTTCTGAATCATTATGATTATTCAAAATAGAGCTGTCGATAGTTTCCGGGGTTCTCACACGGAAACGCCCAGAGAGATCCATAATGCCCCGATCATCACTGAAGTTTTGCGCGCGTTTAAGAGTAGTAGTCATGTATGCAGGATGCCTGTTTTCTCCCCCAATAGGTAGCTCATGCGAACGTAGAGTGGAAGAACTAGTGCTTCCTTTCACTCCTGCATCTGGTCGCGTCAGAGGTGACGGGCTTGTCCGTCGTCGATCCAAGCTCGCCCTAGGCTCTGCACTCTCGGAATGGTATGGTAGTGGAATTTTACCTTTTGCGACGTATTTCGCGATCTTGTTTTTTCCTCCATAGTAATTGCGATCATGTGAAGCTGAATGAGATCGCCGAATTCGGTCGCGGTAATGCTCAGGAATTTGATGATATGCCGACCTTTCCATCCACGAGTAAAGATCTTGCTGTTCTTGAGAGCTACCCAGAGAATGAGATAGTGCATGTTGAATCTGTCTCTGGGCCCATTTCAAAATTGGGTTCTCTTCTCTACTTGCAGAATCGTCTTGTCTATCGATCTCACATAATCGATTGCTCAGATCTTTCTGTGAATCTGGATCTGCTCCTAACAGATATTGAGTCAAACATGCACTGAGATAACCGCAATTATTCCCTATTACGTTCTTTTGCAGGTTTTCCAAATCAGCAAGATGATTTCGTGGAACGCTTGACCTACACACAAGCTCTTCCAGGTAGAGGACTTCCAAATAATAATTACCAAGGTCTCGTGCAGTACTCAGTCCGAGCGTCAATAGCTCAATAGAGCGCTCTGAGTGAGGTGGAATTCTCCAACCTGGATTTTCTGATGCAAAGGGTACGTAAACAGGGAGACGACCATCGAAACATAATAGCCCAGGAGAACTGTCAAGATACGACCAGCGTGATGATTCTTGGCTTTCTCTGGATACATCGGCCCATCTCACTTCAGCTAGAATCCAACGCAAGTAAGGGCTAGATTTAATGCTTGCAGGATAGTTCTCCCTAATTGAAGTTGCAATCTTTCGGGTATGGAGCATGCATATATCAATCCATTGTTGATCTGCTTTGTCGAGGGGCCCTTCGTCTGGAATTCCCCGAAGCCACACTGTGACTAATACGTCAAGAATAGCAAGATCTGTGGATTCATCCTGCTCTTGGGTCCACTGCGTGACGAATGTATTGATAGAACGGTCTAGACTCATCCTTGTGTCAAAAAACATCCCTACCACTTGCTTCACAGTCGATGAACCTAGTAAATGATAAAAAATATCTCCCATATCCCAAACTCTGTTTTTCGATAGAAGATGCGAATATAATTCGCACCACTCGAATTCAGAGATGGACCCAACCATAGTATTCGGATACGATGAACTCATCGATACAACATGTGGCGTTTCTAGATACATCAAATGACAGAGAAATCGAATCTAATACTAGTGAGTTAAAGTTTTGGATGATAGCTGCCCAGTATTGAACCTCACCTGAATTGAACTCAAGTTGGTAAAGTCTCGACGTAATTCCGAAATCAGCTCCGATTTTGCTTGTCCCCATTGCAGAACTGCATCTTCTGTCCACCCCAAAGTAACAGCTTTTGCTACACAAAATGCGGAATGTAGGTAGTGATGGTAGATTTGACCACAATCTTCGGTCAAGATTGGAGGATTCTCACATGCGAGAAGCTCGAGAACATCCTTACATGCGCCTTGCGACAACAAGGTCTCAACATAGTCAATGATGAAATCTGGATGATCGCCACAATAGACAGAGCAAGATTTGAAATATTGCTTGGCATCATAAAACCTTCCGAGTCTTCTTAAACGAGAAAGCTCCTCCAAGTAAATCTCGATATCTTCGCTACATTCGAACTCAAGGTAAATGGTTGAGTCTTGTGTTGAATTGGGAGTCCACGAATTACTCTCTGTCTTGGAAATTGGTATGCGGCTATGAGGCGGAAGAGTAGAGCCACCTCCTGGAGACACTGAATAGAATTCACGAAAGTAACGAGCTGCTATTCTTTCTCGACGGTTTCTAAGTTCGTTTTCGCGGTCGGCTGAAGGGTCTTCGGTGTCATCTTCAGACTCTTCATGATATCTATAATATTTGGAAGGTTCTTTAAAAGATACACTACGTTTCTCTGTGGATTCTGACAATGATATCGGAGCAGTGGAGGTGGAAGATGCTGTATGGGAATCGCGGGACCAGAGCGAATCCCCACGTGATGATGCTGAAGTTGACGAGGGTGGGTAGTGACCCGTAAAGCGAGGCATATTAAAAGCTAGTTGTTGAAAGGGTATTTTGAAAGTTTCAGAGCACCGCTTGACATTTGGAAATTGAAGATTAATTGTGTTAGTAGATGTTGTGAAATTATACACATTGATTTCATCGTGGGAGGTAGGCTGAGTTCAGGGCTGCTGGACTATTTTATGCATTCAGGTTACATCGCATGAGCACAGCCTCTATCAGTTGCCGTTTCGCTATCAGCCATGAGAAGAAAACAATAAAGTAAGATCTTACATTACAAGCGCAAAAAGCCAGTTCCATCCTCTTTACATCTTTTATTCGAGTCAACGCTCCAAAACCACATGTTACCCTCAATCTAGAAACCACCACAATGACTTTGAACCCTCTAAGCAATACTCCAATCATCGCACGAAAGTTTGGGCGCACCCTGGAAAGAATCGAGCATCTTCCCAATGCGTGTCTGAAATATCAAAAAGTCGGAAAGGTTGGAGTAACTTGCCAATTTCGACTCTCTAAGTCGAAATGGGGAGTTATGGGAGAAGCTGAAAATCCTGCAGGGGTTATTTATATGAGCCTTGGATTTGATCAGCCAAACGATTGCAGGTTATCGAGCGCAACAGTTTCGATCACTTTAGAAGACAGCGAGCCGAGAGAGGCCACGGAAAAGTCGTCCATTCAGAAGTCTGTATCGGATCGCCTTCATATTACCGATCAATATGGTCCTAAGCAACTACACGGACCGGAAAGACGAATGCTAGTCAAAAAGAATCTACTTCTCACTCCAAATATTAATATCCTTGGCAATGGTGGTGGTGGAGTAGGGCTAGACACCTCCAAAGAAGTAATCCTAAGCAGCAGATGGATATTCAATGGAAGGCTAAGACCTGCAACTCATCCCACCCATAAAGGTCGACATACAGCAATATATCGAACATTGGAATGGGAGCTTACAGAGAGCGAGTTCGAACAGCATACAACGCATAGCAATATGATCCATACTGCCTTCGCCTTCGAACACGATGGCAGACCTTTCTTAATGGAAGTTAACATAAAAGGCAAGTTGAAAAGCACGAAGGACAAGATCTTAAGACATTTGAAATTTTCTTCGGACCAAGACAAAAGCAAGGGTTCTTCCACAACGTTTGTCCATCTTCCGCGAGGGGACCGCAATAGCACGCGTCTTGATGTCCTCGCCAATAGTCTTCCGAGGATGATGGAGATGGAAAATTTAGAAGTGGTACCGACAGAAATACCCGATGCACTACCTGCATCAATTTTCATGGGAGGGATCACGGCAGAGACTCCTAGAGAAAGAAATGGGGAGAAAAGGGATGGAGTTGCGACATTTGCTGGACCACGACAGTCGACGCTCGTTGCAACTTCCACCGAACGCATTACTGTCCACAGCAAACCTATGGGACTAGGGGTATCTAACTTAGATCCATTTGACCCGACATATCCATCTCTCGAAAATCTTTCGAGAGCATCTTTGATTTTAACAAACACACCTCAAAATGGAACTGGAATCTCCGAACAGCATCCGAAGAACATATCAGTGACGATGTCAGAGCCAGCAATGGATCTGCAGGATGGGTCACAATCAGAGAACGGATCGTCCTGGTTCCCATCAGATACTACCTTAGTCGAAGAGCAGGATGCAGAGCAACTGGCAGAGGAGGCAAGGCAGGCAAAGCATAAGGATATTCAGGATGGTTTAGTTATGCTCTCGGATTCGCCCTATCTCATGCTAATCCTAAAGTTATTGCTAGGATTAATGACAGTGCTCAGAGAAACCCGAAAGACTATTACAAAGCTATCGTCTTCTCCTGAAAGCATTGGCAAGGACAGCACAATAAGCCTAGACTGAAGAGACAGGAATGGTCCCGATGAGGAATAGTGAATATATACGAAGGCGCGTGCTGGAATTTCTTTAGCTGTATAGCATTATTAGGTCGATATGGAGTTAGAATCTCTTGAAAACACAATGATGTGAATCGCAGAATCGTAATATCAGAAATCCATTCCACGTTCACAAATGGACTAATTCCATTGATTGTGGCTAGTGAATGTGGCAAGGTAACCGAGTGCCGGCTGTTATCTTTCAATAATTATTCGCCCTGACAGCCAATCGACCATGGCAATGACACTGTTGGCTTGTACGCCTTCTTGGTGCCCGTATAATGCATCTGAAGAGACCATATAATGTCGCCAAAAGGGAACTCGCAGTGGTTTATAGATTGTGAGACTCTAGTTTCGATTTCCAGGCTGCGATTCAACTACTATCTGATGGCCTACAGCCTCTTCAAGTTGCGTCCACTGTTAGGTGTACGGACTGACGAGACACTACAAGAATGGACTTGGAAAGATCTCTTGATATGTCGATTGTTCTATTTTAGGAATCGTTTGAATGTTTCATTAGAGGTCGAAAAATCAAAAGATAAATTCTGATATCAAGCAATCGAAGAATGAATTTGTTGAAAATTTCGAAAGCTGAGAAGTCTCCCGTTGGACCATACACCCACTGGTGGTCCTTCTGGTGTACATGCAGTCAATATGGACACTGGCAAGGAGTTCTGAGAGACTAGTCATGAAGGATTGTCAAATACAGTGTTAGAAGTTTGAGCAATGCGATGTGGAATTCCCACATCTCGCACTGCCGAACTTTGGAGGAGGCAGATAACTAAGAAGGAGTACCGCCATGCGTAGTTACATACCATCATTGTGATTAAGAGAGATTGGGCTATGTCATTCCTCATTTCTACATCACTTCTATGCCATATTTCATTGATCACGTCAAATGTTTCTACTTTGGGTGATTGTTCGAATTCTCCATTCTTAATTCGAACATAGCACATGAATGTTTCCTTCAATCTGGACAATAAATTTCCAATGCTTCAATTGAAGGAAAGTATCAGATTATCAGCCCTTATCCGGCTCAAACGATACTTTCTCCAGAGTTATACTCAGTCAGGTCAATCTCAGTGCACCGCTCCGGGTCAGGCCTACTTATATGTAAAGCTTTACTCCAAGTTGTTTCGAAAAGCGTTTACTGTCGGTGAAGATAAGCGGCTGTATTTATCTACTAACACCTAGCATACCTATGCGTTAACGGATCTTTAGTTTCGGCCTTTGAATCTCTCCTAGGTATTTTCGTCTGACCAGCCGAACAGCATATATGAGGCTGTAGTCCGCCTGCCGAGGCAGATTTTACTTTGTACAATTGAATTGCTACTCTATATGGGCTCAGCCCCATACTTGATACTTCTCCATTCCTACTTTCATCCCTCTGCAGCTTTGGCCTGCTCTCTACCTGCCATAACATATCGAGGAAAGTACAATGACGTAATCACTACTTACCTCCATCTTATCTCCGTGGAGAAACTTCTTAATAGCTCTTCTTCTCATATAGACCAGACATCAACAAAACAACCTGTCATACAAATCATGGTATCTAATAAAACCTACTCCCTCGGCTATAGCCCTGCAGTAGTAAATCGACACTCCCTCCGTCGCGCCTCTACCTGTTGCGCCTATTTCCTACCTCACCTAACCCCCACATCACACATCCTGGATCTCGGCTGTGGCCCCGGTTCAATTACAACCGATGTTGCCACCCTCATCCATCAGAGTTCAATTATCGGTCTCGATGCAGGAGAATCAGTCATTGAGGTGGCTAATGCAAAGGCCAGAGACCTGGGATTAGACAATTGTTCATTCCAGATTGGTGATGTGATGAAGTTACCTTTTGAGGACGAGACATTTGATGTAGTGTATACGCATCAGCTACTCATTCATTTACCAGATCCTGTGAATGCTATCAAGGAGATGAGAAGAGTTTGTAAGGTAGGAGGATTTGTGGCCTGTAGGGAGAGTGATATGGGGGATGCTATGTTTTATCCTTCCACTTCTGAACTTAAGAGAACTGTTGAGATTATGGAAGCCATGATCAGAGAGAAAGGATCAGAGCCACATGCTGGGAAGTATTTAGGGAACTGGGCTAGAGAAGCGGGGTTTGAAAATGAGAACGTAGTGGAGAGTTACAGTTATCTGATGCAACCGAGTTGGAAAAACTCATTGATGACTGGTGATGTTGGCGAAAACGCGGTCAGGCTAGGAGTTGTGGACAGCGATGAGAAAATAAAAGAAATGATTGAGGAGTGGGATGCTTGGGAGAAAACAGAGGGATGCTGGTGGAAGACTGGCTGTGGTGAAGTAGTTTGTTACAAGAAGTGATTGGAGACAGGGTAATCAATCTTCTATTTACCAGTAGATGGCAATGTAATTTCCTGAAGCTTCTATAGTACAATGGTCTATATCTCATCGGAAGCCCAAAATTGGCGCGTATGATAGCTTACAATCAATACAAATACAACTCGTGGAATACTCAAAACTTAACTGTACCCCTTTCCTACTCCTCCCCCTCTCTATTCCACTGCCTTGGCAGATAAAACCTCGCATTCTCATACACCAAGAACGTCACCCAAGTCGCCGGCAAAACCCTCACAATATTCGTACCCAACCCCCTATAAAACCCTCTCCACCCCTCCTCTCTCCAAACCTTGCCCACAACCCCTCTAATCCCCTTCCCAAACCTTTCTTCCGCATCATACGTCTGCAATCTACTCCTCACAACCTGATACGGATACGTCGCTGTTCCCGCAATAATTTTCGCCGAGCTGCTAAGTAACAGCGTCGCGGTATTCCCCAATTTAACCTGGGAACTTTCTCTATCGCCTCTTAGAGTCTGGTGTGAGCAATGATTACGCCAGAAGTTCTTCAAGGGCTCATAGACGGCGAATTGTACGGCTCCATGACTATTACCCAACAAACTAATACCCACACCTCTGTAGAACCCTCGTATTCCCTCATGTTGCCATAAATGTCGAGCACCATGCCACATACTTTGATACGCCCCTTTACTGCTTCGATCCGAACTCAGCATTCGGGTCTTGAGTACCCAGATTGGATTTGTAGTGATGGTAATCATGATACCTGCTGAGCCGGACGCGAGAAAATAGTCGATGGGTGTAAGAGAGGCATAATTGGAATGTGAAGGTTGATTGTGAAAGGAGCGAAGGGAGGATTCAAATATATTTTTGAAGTAGAAGAAGAGGGCCCAGCTACTGGCGTTTCCGATGAGATTGGGTGTTAGACCGCGGTAGAGGCTTTGTAGAGGTTGAGGCTGTCGGGTTAGATTTCGGAAGATGCTAAGACCGCTGGCTGGAGTATGAGATGTACTACGATGAACTGGTGGTGTTAGCAATGGGTTGAGCAGGAAGGAGGGGTATGAAATTACTTTGCAACCGCGTTTTGATAACATCAAGAGGATGAACAGCTAGGGTAGATGCTGTACCGGCCGAGAGGCCAGCAATTGTCTCGACCAGCGCGGGAGAGATGCGCGCATGGTTTTCGGTCATAAGGGAAGATTTATGTTTGTCATTGCGAAAATGTTGAAGTTGCGAGGGGCAATATATTTACACCCGATGACGAAAATAAAGCTTCATAATTTTCTGGGGCTTGCCGAGGCGGGGGCAAATGATATCTTAGGTAGAGTTTCACATTATTCAGACATTCAGACGACAAAGAATGAGGCATTTAAAATTGGAACGGGAGACAGGAAATGGTTTTGATTTCGTAGTGGTGATTGCGCTTTTTGCGCTATTGTACAATTATCTCTGTATGGTGTGCATCCACCATAAACATAAGCTCCCTGAGCATTTCATTATTTCATGAACGCCTCATATGCTACAACCGTCATATCGTTCTCTGGTTAGTGCCAGTATTCCCATCTGTAGCCCAGTCCTGCCTCGCAATTCCTTCCCGTCAATCTCCGTATCGACTAGTCAAACATTTCCGTTTGGTGGCTCTTTATTAGAAAGTTATGCGAGAGGAGAGAGGAGTCTGTAGATGGACATCAGTACATGCTTTGGTCTTGAGAGTCTGCAGAGAAACTGACCTGACGATAGATGGGCGTGGTTCACTGCGGGTGTATCCTGGTTCCGTTAGCATGCATGTCTTTATGCTTCATGTCGTTTGCCAGTTCGTACCAAGGTAGAGGATCAATGGAAGGTAACCACTGTAAACTGTTAGCATAAGTCCAAGATGGAAGATCCAGAATATCCTCACTAATGGATAGCAACACGGGAATAGTCAATGAGCTTTCCAATGCGCTCCTATTCTAAAGTCAATAAAACCATTCCATCTATCCATCATGGGAAGGCCATCTGCATGCGAACCTTAGATTCTTCAGAAAGTTGCATTTTGATGTAATTTCTTAATTCGGAGCTGTAAACGATTAGCATCCTGCAAACAAGAAGAGAGAGTTCATCAAATATACATACAAATTGTTGTAAAATCAAATGTTCTGGCTTGTCTTCCTGTACTTTTACTTCCAGTATAAAAAAGTGATCAAGGTTTCTCACAATCAACAAGGCCGCTGACTAATCCACCATTATTTTTCCGTCGCATCTTGAGCTTCACTGCGAAGCTCCATGCATATTCACTACAGCTGCACTTTTCCATCTTACTCTCACTTTAATAAACCTAAACAACGGGAACTCACACTCTAGCTCCCACCAGTATAACAATATGTCAGGAGCAAGGCATTGGTAAATAACTCTGTTTTCCCAGCTTTCAATTTTCCAATTGCTAGCCTTCCCAAGTTCAAAACCGCAGAAAGTATCGAAAGCTAACCATGGCGCAACGCCGCTCTCTTAGGGAACAAGACAAGGAAGCCACCGTCTATATTGGCAACATCGATGAGCGCGTCACTGATAGCTTGGTATGGGAGTTGATGTTACAAGCTGGTCGCATTGTCAATGTACATTTACCCAAAGATCGCGTCACTCAAAATCATCAGGGCTATGGATTTGTGGAGTTTATATCAGAGGAGGATGCTGAGTATGCGGCGCGCATAATGAATCAAGTGCGGTTATTTGGAAAACCAATCCGTGTGAACAAGGTTTGTTTTATCCTCATTCTGTGTAGTCTTCAAAATTCAAGAAGAGTTTACTGACTGGGAAATTTAGGCCTCTGCCGATAAACAAAAGACCGTTGAAGTCGGCGCAGAACTCTTCATTGGTAATCTTGACCCTATGGTGGACGAAAAGACTCTATACGATACCTTCTCACGCTTTGGATCTCTCATCTCTCCTCCCAAGATCGCTCGCGACGAATCCTCTCTTTCTAAAGGCTACGGTTTCGTATCCTATGCCAACTTCGAAGCTTCCGATGACGCTATCGCAAATATGAACGGTCAATATTTGATGAACAAGGATATCTCCGTCCAATACGCATACAAGAAGGATGGCAAAGGAGAAAGACACGGAGATGCAGCCGAGAGAGCCTTAGCAGCTCAAGCAAAGAAACACAACGTAATTCCAGATCTACAAAACATGCCTCCAGGATTGTTATTAGGCATGAATGGAATTCCACAAGCTCCAGCAGCAATGTTGAACGAATCTCCCATACCTACCGCACCCCCAGGATTCCCACCACAACGTCCTGCTTACAATTCCGTCCCTCCCCCCGGTGGTCCACGCGGTGCTCCAGGAGGACAGCCCCAACATCTCCCACCTCCTCCATCGGGTCTCCCTCAAAGACCACCACCTTCACAGGCCGGCTACGGTGGTCCACAAATGGACTTCCACAATCAACATGTTCCACCTACTGGTCCAGGCGGAGCATATGGACACCCTACTACTGGACCTGCACGAGGAATACAATTTCCACCTGGATTTGCTCCACCGGGAGGTATGCCAGCTCCTGGACAGCCAGGAATGGTTCCTCCGCCTGGCTTATTAAACATGCAAGCACCTCCTGGATTTGGAGGTGCACAGGGAATGCCAATGGGGATGCCACCTGCGGGACCACAAGGTCACGGGGGCCAAGGTTATGGAAGGAGGTGAGGAGATTTGAGGGACATAAGCGGATTCCAAATATCGAAGCAGGAAGTTATACGGTGTAAGATTGAGACCAGGAGAAAGTTAAAGATAAATGTGGTCAAGAATACCAAAGAAGGAGAAGAGAAAAGTCACCCATGAAAATCAAGCGCGGGCAATGGATATATATCAGGGCTGGCGTTCACAACGGCGTTCTAAAGGGTGAGTTACCACCACACGTTACATTACATCTTTCATCCATCCATCCATCCATCCGATCGATGGATGTCGGCATCGAGCAAAATAGTCAGTAACACTTTCCTACAGCTACAGCTACAGCTTCAGCTTCAAATCGGCCTTACGCTCGCTCACGCAGCATCAAAATATTAAAAGATAAATATACATACAGTGTAGGAAGAATATTACAATAATAACAATCGTCGACATGGCATTTAAACATTGATGTTCTCTATCTCTCAACTCTTTGTATTTTTGTCACATGAAACTTCCCCATTTTTGCATCGTACTCTGCTCTGCTCTACTCTATCGTACACTTCTCCAAAAAGTGAACACTGAAACGTATGAAAAAATGGAAAAACTCCCTTGCCTTCGCAATATGATATGACACTTTACTTGCTATAGATGCAATTTCTCATCCCCATTTTCCTTTTTTTTTATTGGACCTCGTTTCCTTTCCTTTTCATTCCATTCAATTTCACAAACTTACACCCCACCCCCAGTCCGATGCCCCTACCAACCACCCTCTAATTAACCCCCTCATAATCCCCCGCCTCAGCACCACCCTCCACATCCCCATCAATTTTCATTTCCTCCGGATTCTGCACCGCCTTCACCTCTCCAGCGATAACCTCCTGCACCTCCTCGACCTCCGGTTCGGGAGGAGCCACCCACCTACTAGCATCTACACCCCAAGCCTCCTCAACGGCGAATTTTCTCCTAAAGACTCTCAACCATCTTTCTCCCCATCCTCTGACCAACTCCCGATCTTCTTCCCTTCCATCCATCTCGATTTCCTGGTCCTTCGATCCATTCGCCCAAGCCGTCAAAAGTTCATCCATCTCCCTTCCCAATTCTCTCATATTGATTCTCTCCATCTCGACGGTTTTCTCAATCAATTGTTTCTGTTCCTCCAGCAATCCCGGAACGCGAAGGCTGAGCTGAACTTGACGAATACGTCCCGTAACTTTTCCAACCGTAGCCTCAACCATCTCGTACACAAAACTCTGGCTGAGTCTTTTGCCCTCGCTACCAATAGCCCACTGCACCACGCTTTGTGGGCTGAGAATCGTGTAGTTCAGAAGTTTATCAATGATATTGACACCGATACCCGGTTGATCCTTCCAATATTGCATAACCGAAGTGATGATTTGGCGTCTAGCGACTGGAGAGACGGGTCCAATGGCTAGAAGTCGATCTTTGCAGCGTTCAATGCAAGAGAGAACATGACTGAGAGATTTGGATCCGATGTAGCAGATTGATGTTACATAAGCGTCTGTAGATGGGACGAGGGGATCTGGAAGTGCTTGCTCAACTGCTAGAGCGTGAATTCGATCGACCACTGGTTGAATTTCCTCTTCTGTTGCCTTCTTGCGGAGTAGTGCAAGAATTTCTTGTCCCTCAGCACTGAATGGTGTACCTATAAATTGTTAGAAGTGCTCGTATCTTTCAAAATGATATCACTTACTTGGATCATCAAATTTAAAATCAGGCGTATCCTTTTCCTTCTCCTCCGTGATCAACTGTTGGTATGGAGGTGGTAAAGTGCCCTTGATTCTCTGAGCAAAACTCAATCGAATCTCCTTATCCAAAGAACCAATAATGAAAGCCTTCTTTGGGTCCAAATCAGAAAGTTCCACATCATCAATCCACTCAGTCCACTTCCAAGTGAAACCAAAGTTACTCAAATGGTGCGAAAACCAATCCATAAATCTACTGCTCAATTCCAGATCCATCGAATCCACATTTCGGTACAAGAAACGAATTGCACGACCAAGAGACGGCGCAATAGCAGCTGGTGCAATCTTGCAAGATTCCGTCAAGACAGCATGATAATAGACGAGTTTGTGTTCTGGAACTGGAAGTTGGAATAACTGAGAAAAGACTGCATCGACTGCAACATCCTCAGGTTTCCATGTTGATCTGTCTCCCTCGACATCTCGAAGTCGGTCGAATGGTGTGGCTCTCTTGACAAAAGTGTCAGGAGCAAAATAACAATCGATATCAATCAAGAATTTTGCAGTGGCATTTCTGTTGTAATCCAAGATATTGATCGTGTCAACCAAAGCATCTCTCAACAGACACGATGAAATATCCGTGATCGGTGGCACGGTCTCAACATCCTGGTTAGCATAAACCGAGAAGTAAAGCTCAGGAAACAAAGGTCTTGGTCCAGCATTAACAACTTCAGGAAGAGCAATTGTTGGCAAAGTGTGTCTTGAAGCGGAAGCCAAAGCTTCTTGTTGCTCTGGTTCAATCATCTTCCACGGTCTTGGTAAACAGAAAAGTTCCCATCCATTTTGCGATTCAGCTTGTAATTGCTTTTGCAGAAGACTCAAAACACCAACTGGCGCAATTGTATCATCTTTAGCATCTCCTGGATATGGATCAACCAAAGCTTGTAAAACGTGTGGTTCAGAAGCAATGATATCAGTGTTCTCAATCATAGCCGCAGCTTTCTCATGAGCATCTGTCGCTGAGGATGCCATGATATATGGAATAGTGAGAAGGATAATCTTGACCAATTCAGGTCCGATAGTCTAGAAATCTCAATGTTAGCCAAATAATCACAGAAGCCAATCTCATCAAGCCAGTCTCTCACCTCTTCATTGTTCTCTGTCTGCAAATCCAGGGCCTTGGTCAAGAAATCCTGCAGAATAGTGAAAACACCATCGCCTTCCAATAAACCCTGCAAGCTTCCCAAGAACTTCATATACAACTTAACCTGTCTCCAATCGCCCTTGATTATTGATGTATTCAAGCACTTTACAGCTCGTTCCAACAACTCCATAACCATTTCCTCTTTCAAAGTATTCAATACCATAACCACTGCAGCGACGAAAGGGATCTTGAAAGGTTGCTCTACGACCAATTGCAGCGACAAATCATAGAATGAATCGCGCAATTCGACATCATCGTAGTTGTCGCATACAATTTTGGCTATTTCGGCTACTTCCGTTTCGACGCGCTTGAGAGGTGATTCGGCGATGGAAAGAAGTTGTTTGCGAACTTTGACGATGAGCGGTTCTTCGTAGCGACGTCTTTGAGGTCGTCGATCGTGATCATCTTCATCTGTGGTTTGAGAATAATGTTGTCAGCGTTGTTTCTTGTGCGGCAATCATTGAAATCCTCGAGAATTGAAGCTGCCGTCAAAGCTTTCAAAGCTGAAGCTCATCTTCCAAATCGCCATCTTCCCCATCACCAGTTTCCCTTCCGTCGATCGCTTTCACTACTTTTTCAGAGTCCCATCCATCTCATCTCTCCCCCATCAAAGAACAAAACAAAACGTAACAAAAAACACATCAACTAACCTCTGTACCTCTTCCTCCCACCACCCCCTCTCCCACCACCCCCATTATATCTCCCTCTGTACCCACCACCCCTTCCCCCTCTCTCTTCTCTCTCCCCATAACCATACCCACGCTCCCCTCCTCTATTTCCCCCCTCACCTCTGTCTCCCTGATACCCTCCTCTATTCTCTCCTCCCCTCTCAGCACCTCTCTCATAATCCGCCATCTTTTCTTACTCTCCCTTTCCTAAATCCCTCTTACTTCGCAGTCGCGCCCGAATCCAATTCTCAATGCGCGTTATCCTTGGTATTCGCGATCAATTCCTCTTCTTCTTCCTCTCAGCCTTCTCAATCGATCAGACAGTGGATAGCCTTCAAAAAATCCCAAAGTATCGTATCGTATCGTATCGTATCGTCTCAATCAAAACCAATCAACAAACAAAACAATCTTTCAGAAAAAGACGTCCTGTTATGAAACCCTGAATCGAATTGACCGATTTGCGTGCTGTGCCGTAATCAATTCCGATACCAATCTTCGAGAAACCTTGAAGATTGATTTATTTATTTATTTATCCATTCAACCTCTTCAAGATTCGAGCTGTGATGCTAAAAAAGAAGCTCGGTCCATCTCAGTAGAAGGGACGTGCTGGGCTGAGTGCCATGTTGCCTTGTTGCCTTAGCATACATGCTACAGCGAGACGCTATGGGATGTGCCATTCATTGTACCCAGCAATTCAATGGATCAGAGCTTGGTAGAAAATGCCAATATACATCATTCGAGAAATTCAGCACACACTTGTGCTTCGTCACAATTTGTATGCATCAAAATAAGAATGATATGGTTGTGAAAAAAAAAAAAAATACTTCTCAGAGCCTTCGGTATTTACCCCAAGATACACATCTAACTAGGCAGTGATGTGATAGTGCCCCCTACACATAATCTCAAACTCATCAACGATCCATTCCTCACATCACCTCACATCACATCACATACAGACCAAAGCCAGAAGAAGCACCTCATTTCACAATACACTTCAATTAATTCATATTTTGTTATTTTCTGGTTTGTCCATTTTCAATACAACGACTGCAACTGCAACAACAACAACGACAGCAATAAGCAAACTCTCTCCTCACCAATCCCAACCACCCACTCATCCATCGATCATATGACAAAAGAAAAGTATCCCCTCATATCCATCAATCCCTATCAATCTATCTCCTTTCCCTCTCTCCATCTCCCCTTCCGCCTTTCAATAAATTCATCAAGCTCTGAAAAAGACAAGTGAGAAGAAAGAATCGACAGTAAAACAGAGAAATAGTTGTAGCCCAACCCCTTTGAATTTTCCCTTTTTTTAATAGTAAGCCTAGTAACCCCTATCCTATTTATTTTCCTTTAATTTCTCTCGTATCAATTAATCCATTCCATTCATGCCATATCAATATTCGTCCACCATCACAACCACAACTAAAATGTAAAATGTTTAAAAAAAAAAAAAAGGTACGCCTGAATCTTGCTTGCATGCCTGTGTTGGAGTATCAAAATATCAAGTAGCGATCGAAGGGGTGCCGTAAAAGAAGAGAAAAAGAAAAGGATGAAAACGAAAAGAGTCAGAAAGTGCAAAAGTAGAAGGGCCAGCCAACCCATCAATCCTCATCACACGAGGCACACAACACAATGTGGAACAAAAAACGGAAGTAGAGAGCAAAAAGGCCATAATTTTTTCTCCTCATGCAAGAAAGTCTAGTAACGAGGTGCCGATAGAAGTATTCGTTGAATCCCATAAACTACCACCCACCCCTTTCCACAACCCCCCTCATGAATCAATATCCATCATATTTCATATCCCTTTCCCAATCACCGCTGTTTCGAGTACCAAGGGAGTATCCTTAGCTGGAATTGAAAACTCGTGCTCAACGAAAATTCCACCTCATGGGTATTCCTATCAAACCAAATAACGCATACCATCATCATAGACTAACTTCGTATTCCTGCCACGCATCTCCCGGACTTCCACAAACTTGATTTTGGCCTGCCAACGTTGCAGACGAGATATGCAGAACCTTTAATATGCTGGGGGGGTTTTTTTATAGCCGGGTGTTATCGCTCGAAAAATCTCGACTCCATTGCAGAGCTCTAAGGTCGAGCGACAGGAAAGCATTCATTCATCAGTCATCTTGCTTTAGCTCCTCCCTCAATCTAATCTTGCCATCATCGCGTCTCTCGTCAATGGTTTGAAATCTGGGCTATCAATATCAAGTTTGCTATCTCTTGCTACCAACCCTGCTCGAATATATTGCGGTACCAGCCGTTGGTTGTGTTCCGGTGCGATGGACAATTCTATTGATGTATTAGTATAATATGCTGGCATCACAAAAAATTCATGACATACCATGAAGAGAGAAATCGAACAAAGTTGGGAGATTCTTCGCCGAGTTGCCGGGGTGGCGAGAATCCGGGAATGTCTTGTCTGGTTCACGTAACTCATCAAAGAATGGGTGAACCATGGCTTCAATGGCTGAGAGTCTCTCAGTAGGAGTATACTCTAACAACTTGGAGATGAGTTCGATGGCACTAGCATCGGCTTTGCGGAAGACCTTGTTAAATGGGTGTGGCTTGATCTGAGGAAACTTGTGCTCCATATAGTTGGGGTTCATGGTACGAATTTGATCCCGAGTTGGTGTGCCCAAGACCTTGATAATTTCGACGAGTTGATCAATGCCAGATTCACCTGGGAAGAGTGGTTGACCAAGCATTAATTCTGCCATCACACAGCCAGTTGACCAAACATCTATCAAGGCAGTCAGCATCATTTACTCAGTCTTCATCATTCGTATATTCTTACCGATCTTGGTTGTGTAGTTAGTAGCCCCGAAAATTAACTCGGGTGCTCTGTAGTAGCGTGAGCAAATGTATGAAACGTTTGGCTCATTCTCTACGAGTATCTTTGCACTACCAAAATCACACAACTTCAAAATTCCACTGCCTGGGTCTAAGAGCAAATTTTGTGGCTTGATATCACGATGGCAGATTCCTTGGGAGTGGATATAGGCTAGGGCGCGGAAGAGTTGATAGATGTAAAGCTTGACTTCGATGATAGGCATTGTTGTCTTCATCTTGTTGAAATATCTTGATGCGCGGTAAACGGTCTCAGGAACGAATTCTTGCACTAGATTAAGATATACCTCATCCTTCTACCCAAAGGTCATTAGAAATGTTCAGTATGTTTGTGCAGGGTGGAATAAACTTACTCGCTCGCCGTTCGAATAATAGAATGCCTTTAATTCGACAATGTTAGGGTGACGAACAATGCGCATGATTTGCAATTCACGATTCTACTATTTGTATCAGCAACCAATTACTTTGTAGACTCGAACAGATGTCGCAAACCTTGAATCTCTTGTCTTGCAAAACGCGTTTGATGGCAGCATCTTCTCCTGAAGGTGACAACTTGGTTTGAAAGACAACACCGAAGGAACCGTTTCCAACAATCTTGCATTGTGTATATTGCATATCTCGGGTTTCGCCAGTAACGCCATCTTGAACCTTTTCGCGGATTACTTCTGTAGAATTCCAAAAACGTTAGAATCAATCTTCCTCCAGACAGAAAAAAAAGAGGTGGTAGCAAGGTAAGGGGAAAGACCATATGTAGGAGTATGTTTCTTACCTCCCATTCTTAAGCTCGAGAAGGCAGCAGGCCGATTTGACGACATATTGAAGTCCAAAACACCGATTATTATCGTTCGTGAGGTGGGCTGTAAACGAGGAGGGTTGTGAGGAGAGTGGTTGATGGCCTGTTGTAGTCCGTGTTGGGCAATTGAAGACCGAGTGTGCGACCAAAAGTAATCAATCGGTAATTACCAAGTGAATGATCTTCAATAACGTGACGGGCTGACCAGTCGAAGAATTATTCACCGAATTTGAAAATCGAAAAGTTGAAAAAATCGAGATTAATGACCAACGTGAGACTGCGGCTGATGGATGAGAATTTGGGAGTTAGTGGTGGTGGCCCTTTAATGGTTGGGAGGGGTTGGGTGAAAGGCGGTGGGATGGGGGGTGTGTGGATGTTATGTTATGTTATGCTTGTTATGTTATGTGTGTGTGGTGGGAGTGGGAGGAAGAGGTCGAGGCAGAGAAGGAGAGAGAGTTGAAGAGAGAGTGAGCGAAGGAGAGAAAGACAAGGTGTGTATGTAATGTAAATGTCCAAGTGTGCCAATATGTATTATGTGTACGGAAGCAATGAAGGAACAAGGCAAGGCAAAAGAAGAGTTGGTCAAGGCGTACCGTATTTTAAATTCAACTCGAGGTAATGGTTATGTTAATGTATTTGTGTCTTGAATGTGAATGGTCGGGATGGATGGGATTGTATTGATTTCGTACAGAAAGGACCTTGAAGTTCGAATGCGAGTATTATTCAAATGAATGAACAAAACCAGGTTCGATGATTGTAGCTGCTGTGGTTGAGTGTTTTTGTTATTTTGGGGGTTATGTTATGTTTTGTTTTGTTTGGTTTGGTTTTTCTTTTCTTTTCTTTTCTCAAATACGGAACAGGTAAGGTGATCAAGGTAAAATTGAGTGGTTCGTTGAGTGGATAGTCTGTAACCTGTACTGTCTGGTAGCATGTATTGATTTGTTGATGGATGAATGGGATGTGTGGTGAATGGTGGTGGTGGTTATGGCTGTGGAGGACGTGGTGTGTATTGGTCGTATGGTCGTATCGTCGAATGGTCGAATGGTCCTATGGTCCTATGGTCCTATGGTCTACGGTCCTATGGTTGTATGATTTCCGGAGAGGGAGGGAGGAATTTAGGAGAGAGAGATGAGAATGGATCAAGGAAGAGAAAGGTGGAGGTAAACTAAGGTAACTTGAGGCAAGGTAGACTAAGGTAAGGTAACTAACGTAGTGCAGGTGCGTGATGCGTGGTGTATAGTGATTGTGTATGTGTATGGTCAAGGGACGGTAGAGGTAGTGTAAAGTAAAGAAAAGAGGGTGAGAGAGAGAGAGAGAGAGAGAGAGAGAGAGAGAGAGGAAGAGGTCGTGGTCGTGGTAGGAGTCGTTGGGTGGGTGAATTTGCCTGGTCAATTTCTTGATTTGGTCCAAAAGACACCAGAAATCACCTAAAAGGGTAAAAGAGCAAAAGAGTAACAAGAGAGAAGTTTCTTGTAATGCAAGAGGTTGAAGGGATATGCGTGAGGTATAAAAAAAAGTTATAAATTAAGATTGGATGGAGTAGTTCGTAGATCGTTGTCCCGTACTGCGTCCTGAATGTGTCGTAGGAGTTTGTAGTTGGATAATGGTAAATCCAACTCCTCTGCTCTTCTGCTTCCTCTTCTTCCTCTTCTCGTTCTTGTCCTGTCTGAATTGGCTTCCAAAGTTATTTATTCCTTGGCTCTGGAAATACTGGCTGTGTTGCTCACGCGCTCGGTTTTTTTGGAGATGGGAGTAGTTGGGACTAATGGTCGACTAGGGTAGCATTTCCTGACTTCTTGATTCGTTCACAAAGGTTTGACCCGTTTGTGCTTTTTGTAATGGTCACTTGTTGCTAATAATCCTTCAAGCGTAGTGTTTAATTCGTTCTCAGTAGTCTTGTTCCTAGCTACTTCTTCGTGCGCCTCTTATTTACCAATGATCGTACCGTACCGCAGTCAAAAAAAGGTACCAATAGTTTGTGAGGAGGGCGGTGGACAGGATCTTTCTTTGGTACTGGTACTGTAACACAATTCAAGATGAAAGTGTTGAATCGATGTTTGGAATTGATTTGAAAGATATGGTCTCGATGATATAGTGTTGGATCTAATCTAATCTTTGGGAATCTTAAGGGCAGTGGCGGATGAGATAAGGCTGGCACGTTGTGTTTTGGGCAGGAAGAAAGGCAAGAGTAGAGAAGGTTAGAAGGCTGCATTACATGTAGCTGTTCTCATGTCTAATCCAAATAAATAATCATGACACAATAAAATACTCGAGGTAGGTATGTTAATTAATCTTTCCGTTTTGGGCTTATAAGACTCGCTTTGATATCGTCTAATAAGGCTGTGATTTGACCCTATTACTCTGGATGTACTGTGGTATAAATCATTACCTATATGTAGTATTGGTAACTTGGAACGCCTGGAACCGGATTGGATGGATGAGGTATCAAAGATATTAGCAGTCAGGCGATGGAATTAGAGTAGACGCCGAGATAGTTTTCAAAAGACTACTTGGTGATATCAATTCTCACAGTCTAATGAAGGGGTCCCAACGAGGTTCAAAACCGGCTGGGTATAGGTAGGATTAGATGTCTTGTTTTGTTGGTGGTAGGTCAGAAGGTAGAAAGATAAAAAGATCGAGATGGAAGTCAATAACGTGATGTAAATGCAGTGAGAGGCTTATTAGAGTGAGCACAGGGGGTTTCGAGGTCAATACTGGATTGAGTACCGAGTAGATTGAACGACCAAATCAGTCTTCTCGTCGACAGTTGTATGGAGTCACGATGTGAAAGTCTTTGATATAGCTTAAATGAATGTACAGGGCGGAGGATAAGAGAGAGGGGTTAAAAGTCCCTTCTTTTTACTTTTTGTCAGAATTCCTTATTTTTCATCTACTTCCACTTGCTTTTCTCCCTATCTTCTGGTAGCTACGAACTGAGCATTGTGGGCGAGAGCTGTACCTAGAATGTAAAGCTCAGTGTCCATTTGACGAATGTAGTCGTCTAGTGAATAAATTTCGATGGTGCAGGTGTTAAACTTTGGATTATGGAGTAAGAGGCGTGCTGGCGAATGATCTTCTTTCGTTCAGAGATCAACAGTGGATAGTGGATGCTTTGCCTTAGTCCATGCAAAGGGTTGGCAAGAACGAGGGATATGAGGGGTCACCACCAAAATAAAAAGCGGATAGACGTAGGTAAGATGACAATCGCTTAATGATTTGGTCTTAGCTTAGCGTGCTTGAGCTTGACGTTTGAATTTCCTTTTGCTGTCTTTTTTTCTGTCCTGCATTGCAGCAAATTGTATACCGGGGGCAAAGGACAGGGGAGGGGGGGAGGCATTATTTTGATAGGACTCGTGGAGTACTGGAGAGAAAAATGGGAGAGACAAGGATTAAAGGAGGAGGCGGATGGTGAAGGGGAAAAAGCTGCGTAAAGAAAATGATGAGGTAACTTACAGGTTTGAAGTAAATATAGATATCCGAATATATTTAGTAAAACGAATGATCCATTAATAGAGAGCGAAGTTATTAGATGTATATCTTCATAAAGCAACTCCGAATCTCCCAGAACAATTGGTACGTTGGTTGGTTGAATATAGAGTATCTTGTGAGTTATGATGATAAATGTGAAGCTCAATGCGGGACAATAATGAGGGGTTCGAATTCTCGGCATCGAGTAGTCTTTGGTTAGGGGGTATTTTCTGTCCAGATCTCTAACATGACCTTGATTTACGAATCAATGACATTATAGACATTTGATACTCTGTGCTGTGGTAATTCATCGAAGAAAGAAACAAAGAAAAAAGAGCTTCCTTTTTTCCTACTTCGGTCTCTGGGTATCTACTCGTTCAATCAAGCTGCGATTATTAATACTCGAGATGTCAAACCATTGATGTCATATCCAAGCTTTATGGCCTTCATACTTGGAAATCTTTTTGCCATCACCACCGTCTTGGTAAAGCATAAAACGATATCCGGAAAATCTTTCTTTCAGGAACGGTACCTGCTCGCTCGCAAGCTACTGTAGATATTGTCCTCCACGGAGTTACGTACTCTGTTATGTATCATCACTTGGGAACTGGGAGTTGATGTAATTGGTCAAGTCATTGCCACCTTGAATCATACTTCGAGTTTTAGAACTATGCTCGAGCTGCCTAGTATGTGAGAGAGGATCATGAATTAACGTCCTTTTTACTAGATCTCATCGTGGCCAGGCAAGGTAAGGTAGGACAATCATTCTATATTTCCTCGAACCCGGTACTTCGTGCCAGTACGGTGGTTATGGACCACCTTTTTATCTCTCTCTCTCTCCCTCTCCCTCTCTCTCTCTCTCTCTCGATCAATTTTTGACCGAGTACGATATGAATGTCCTCGAGCATCTGGTATCTCTTTCCTTATTCACGTATTGATGAATAAGGGGAGTAAATGACTTTTGGATTAATAATGTTACATACAAACAAGCACATGCCAATTCAATTTTTTGTTTTAGGTCTGTGATTAAGGTTCCATAAAGGCTTCCAAAGAGGACAAAGTTTCAATAATGGAGTGATTTAAAAACGATCATGGGATCAATTCTGATGCCCCAGCACGCGCCATATTAATGTCTGAGCATTTTTTAGTGGGCAAGGGAAAGGGACAGAGAAAGAGAAAGAGAATAATGAATGAGAAAGAATTAAAGATCAATTCCCATTGACTCTCGATTCTAATAGGTAGGCACGATGTTTGGAGTACAGTAATAATATGAATAATAATGTATTCATGCCTGAACTTGCATTTCAAGTTTCCATTTTTCATCGATCCAAATAATCATAAATAACATCAAAAAACGACCCGTGACCCGTGACATATCCCAAAACAGTCCTCATTGCATAAGCGTATCGCAAGGTCGATATGTAGCATGGGATGTACGTCGAACGATCGACTAGACGTCTTAGCTTCGCGATTGGTGAGTGGTGCAACGCGTAAATGTAGCTGAAGCTAATTACGCTTTTGGGGAGATGCTGCATGGAGTGAATGGGTGCACATATATAAAGAAAAAGGACAGCAAGTCCCATCCAGTGGGTAGAGAGATGAGGTACAGCATGCTGATGTAGCAGGAGATGAGAATCATTCTGTCGCTCTCTCCGTCTTCCCCGTCTCCCGTGCGAGGACGCGTGAGGGTGAGGGAATAGAATTTGGTTATACTTGTTCTCGAGGAATCCCAAAGGAGGTTCATTCACAGAGTCTAGATGCGAGGTGTGTCAAGCCATATGATTCCATTGGATTTGACTAGCCCAAAGGAGTCGATGTCCACGATACTGTATGGGAATGTCGATTCCCATGTTCCCAATTCACTGGAATGATATCTCCTCAGGGTATCCTGTGTCTCTCCGCGGCCGGCAACCTGCCGTATTGATATATTAACGGTAAGAGTTACACCCGTACAGACCATACACTACCTCATCTGGATGTTGTAGTCAATATGGATACCCGGTTCTTGGCGCAAAATGACGGGTACTTTGCATCCTTTTCGAGTCCATCAATCATGTCTGTGAGACTTCATAGCAACATCCACTTGCCTCGTGAGCCCCCTTTCCCGGGAATCAATCTGTTGAGTCAAGGACATCCCTTGATGAAGAGAAGGCCCAACTTGGTGAGATGAAGGACAGAGTCAATCTATTTTATCTCGTCTGCGCCTACTATATCTGATGCGATGTAATTCCATGAAGAATGGTTACTTCTGTTTTACCACCAAAAGTCTCCCTCACCAGTCGGGTCGAATGTTTTAGGATGCACATGGTCATTCTTGGTATACAATGCACGGGCCAGGTTACAAAGATTCCGGTCAGGATTGGCTTCAAATCTCTTCATTTGGGGAAATGTTGTACCAGTTGACAGTGTATGGTATACTCGATACTGATACTCGATATTCGGTACCTTGTAGGTACGGGAAATACAAGAAATTAATCTGCATGTAATTCAAAGAGATTGTAAGGTAGGACGAATGTGAGTTGCCACGAATCATGACTGGATTTGATCTATCTCAACCAAGTCACCAAGTACTGTCGACCCGGTCTTTGGCTTAGCCAAGATATCAAAGAAGCCTTTTGGACTTTTGGACTTTTCGAGGCATGAAATTGGTTGGTCGAGTGTCTCATCATATAGTGTTTGGTGTACTCAGACTCATGTATCTGTTGATCAGTGTAGGAAATGGCTGGTTGGTGGCTTCTCGCTTTCCTTTCAGTGGAATCGTCAAGCCAGCATACATATTCATAATTACACTGATGACTAGGTAGGTAACTTTGAACATTGCTTAATGAAGCATGCTGAGCTTCAAGGTAACCACCAGCCACCGACAACATCTTCATTACACCAATCCATAATACTGTACAATTCATAAGGTTACAAACACACAGACAGAAGACACCCACACCCGACGGTTTGTCAACTCCTCGTGTCGCTCATGTTATCAATAAGTTCCAAACCCCCTCCATAACTCCAACACCCATCAAAAACTCAACCCGAGACCCAATGAGAATAGATACCGCCAATATGGTCCTGACTAAAATCCAGGGTATTCGTTAAAACCTAGTCCGCACCATTTTTACACCATGAACACACCCTCTAGGAATTTCATGCATTTTCATCCCGAACCGAGAGGAGTTAGAGAGAAAGTCAGCCAACAAACGACCAACGCAAGCTCGAGGCAAGTTTTGCAACGCCCGTGGTGGGACCCGGTTTTTTAGGTTTATCGGTCACGGGTCCAGGAAAATTATGGGATGGTGGGAGTTTTGGGAATGGGGAGACAGACAGGGTGATGAATCACAGGGACGGATGGGATGGGGGGGAGGATACGAGATTGAGATGAGCGAGAGGGGCTGGATGGATGGATTGTGGTTTGTGGTTTGTACTGTGTGGAGTGTAAGGTGTGTTGTTTGATATCAGGTACTTTATCTACACATAAATGACGGCTATATACATATAAGTAGTTTTAAACGGAGAATCGAATCAGAGTGATTGCAATTGAAAGAGTTTGAGTTGAATCAACGTAAATGTCAAAAAGAGTGATGGCGATGAAATACGGCTGGTCATAGCCGACTGACCACCTTGGGTTACTCAGAATCAGGAACAAACATGTCGATTGCGAATCTCGAAGCCATCATCAGATATTCAACACGCATACACATCCACATCCACATCCATCAATCCCACATCCACATTCATCCTCTACCGTTTCGTTCCCCTTTCTCTCATTTCCACAATTTCTCGTCTCCTCAATTTTCCTCATTCATTCATTCAATGACAGCCCCTGTTGTCCATTACATCTAAAGTGTATTAGCTTCTCCAACGCAACGTTGTCCTCGTGACTCGTGACCTATTGTCCGAGGTAGGGTGGGTGGGTGGGTGAGAGGGGAGCCGAAGGGAGGGGAGGCTTCGTATCATTGATTGATTGAATCAAAAGCGAGCACATTCAACAGGACCAGGCCACGCGAGAAAGTCAAAAAATAGTGAAGCTATCGTGATCATTCACTCATTCATTCGCATTCACATCATCTCTGCAGCGATATCGAAAGATCTAGATCTGGATTTGGATTTGGATTTAGATTTAGATTTGGGTTTAGATCGAATCCTAAATGAGTAGACTACTTTACTTGCTCGCTTGCTTATTGACATTATTCACGGAACAATTCATCCAGTTAACTATCTGTACCAAAATACTCGGAATGAAACTCTTCCTGGTATTCACCGATCTCGCTTTCAGATGCTACAATGTGATGTACATACATACATACATACATACATACCAACCAGAAATCACAAAGCTAAAGCCAGACCCCAAAGGAACTTATCTTACCACTAGGTACACAACTAACTCTCAAGTCTTCACGCCCTGAAAAGGTAGATTGCCGTGCCCAACCCCATGTCCGCAGAAAATATATGCAGGTGTCCATGAACTTCGAGCTGACAGGATAGCTTGACTGTCGTGAGACTTTCAGGGGCAGAGAAAGGAAAAGAAAAGAAAATAGACTTTTCTTGAAGTTGGGTGAGAGCTTGGGGAATGGTGAGGCTAGTGAGATGTAGAGGATTGCATGAATGCTAGCTGCAGAGATAGATAGATAGAGAGATGTATTGTTATGATCGATTGATTACTTACTTGAAGGACTTGGATTCTACGACTACGAATGCTACGACTACAATTTGGTTTCGTGTCACTGCAACCGCGCCTCGCACAACAGTTGATGGATGTACTTCATGGCATGAATGTGTCTTTTGCATTGGTATACTGGGTACATACATATGGGTATGAGATGAGTGATGGATTGAAGTATTCCTACTACTTCCTACCTATTCAAAGTACGATATTTTAGATGACTTGTGTTACGGTATGTAAGATCTTACATTCTTCTACTACGTATGTATGGCTACAGAGACTCACATAGCCAATGACGATTGAGATATTCTGGCTGAATGATCAGCGATCTATCATTCATCATTCACCACCTCTCGAATATCATCTATAAGTTACTCTACTTGGTATGTACCGGAAACCCCCATAAAACCACCTCTACGAACTTCCAAAATCTTGATGGCGAAAGTATGTGTGTATGTACCTATGTAATGGAACTCTAATCCGCACGCCCAACATCTCGACTCGGTACGTACAGTGACGACATCATACGTTCTCGATTTGAGTTTCAACGGCGGTGCAGCGTGCACCAACTTTTCACGTTTCTTGAAGGCGGGCGGGCGGGTTGAAGGAAATCAAATCGTATGTAGTGTGTACTAGGTAGATATGTATCTATCTGTAGGAGAAACGGAAAAGGGCAGGTGGAGGATTATCATCTTCTTTCTCTTGTTTGGGATGGTCGATTTCGTTTCGTGGTGTGCATTTGCTAATTATTGATTTTTTGGATTTTTTGGATTCTTTTGGGTTTGCATTGCCCCTTTGGAGGAAGCGGGGTAGTGGAAGATACTATCCTTACCATCCATACTATGTCATCTGTAGCATAACGGGCACCAACTTGTGTGAGGTAGAGAGCGAGAGAGTTTATTGATCCTCTGCTGATCAGTCAATATCAAAATATCATGGTGACGAGGTGGATGTAAATACTACCTCATGTATGTGCATCTCGGACTACTTCCCTGTGGCTGACTTTGAGATGTTGATATCAAAGTCATGACGGTAATGAATGATCCTACGAATGCAGTACTCGATGCGATGTTGGCTGTGTGGAACTTTCTATCACATATCAGAATTGCGATTGGGATTGGTGTACCTAATGATATTAAGTGCAGGAAATATATATAATATCATAGAGAATACAGTCTTATCTCCGATTGGGCGGGAATCTGAGAATCTGGATTAGAAATGGATGTATTCATTCATTCATTCATTCATGCATTCATGCATGTATTACCGGTACAGAAATCAAGATCAATGGTTGGCGTGATGGAATTGCCTCTTTTTCCAGAGGGGAGGGAAGGAGAGGGGGAATATGGTATGGGTTGATGTCGTCGTCGATATCGCCACCACAAGCACATTTACGAAATTGCGGTAACATGGAAAGAAAAGCGTGTATTGTAAGCATCGCCACACCTTTAATTGATTCCAATCAGACTTCTGGATTTTCGAAACGGCGTCCCATCATTGATCACCTCTGTATCCGAGGTCGCCTGTATGTACGAAGTATGTAGAGAGCATCATCAAATGTAGAGAAAGCTTGCATAGGCCACGCGATGATCTATTCGTAGAATGAGGGTATGACCGTGCGTTTGGTCATGTATGTACGGAGTATGTAGGTGATTTGTAGGAGAAAGATAGACCAGAATTGATTATCCCAATAAATTCTATAATAAATCGTAAATCAATCACAAATGAAATCAAAGAGTGAAGGGTATCAAACAAGTCCTTACATAATCTTTAATTGTGATACCATCTAGGCTTTTCATTCTCTGAATTTAAATGGAACAATTGAATTGTTGAAGGGCTTCGCCCGTGGCCAATTTTGGTCTGTTTTATCTCCTACGAATGGGTGGGTATCCTTGGATCCCGTACAACCGACCTTTCGAAGCTTTGGGGCGAGCGAGCATCGCTTTTCCTGGATGTGTGGGGATGAGAGCGGAATCTTGGATTGGGTGGGTAGAATTCCTCATTTCGATGATTGGTTTACAGAATACAATACAGAGATATCGTCGAACGCGTACTCAGAAATACCTCTCCCGCCTCCTCCCATTACCAAAACCATCAGGCTCCTCTTCCCTCCCGCATCCCTTTCCGTGAAGAATTTACCGGGCAGCGTTCCGTCCAAGTCGTCGCACAAATCTGCAATAAGAGACCAGGATTTGTCTTACTGCAGCCTCCACGCATTCATGCCTTTAATGAATGCCTCTTCACCCATTTTCCCATCGCTTAATGCGCAACTTTCCTGGCTTGGGACCGCTTGAGTAACATGTGCAAGAACAACGCAGACGTTCGTCACGTGGATGGCGCTTTTCCAAGACTTTGGGCAGGCGATGGACATGCATCGAAGTATCGATTGCGTCGCTTGTCCTTCACGCACGCTTTCTGTAAAGTGTGCAGGCAGCGTGATTAATGTACCATCTGGAGTGGATCTGATGATCTATCTATATGTGTATGGTTTCTGGAGAGAAGCCGAATACGTCTTTCATGCCGGTATATTGTTATCCGGTGAGCCACGTTGGCTAAGAGGTTACTATGGAGCATTATGTGATTGCTATGGTTTTCTTCGCACGAGTTCGTGTCTTGGTATCTGCTCAATGCACTTGTACCTGGTGCCTTTTCTGTAATGAATCTCGCTTCCAAATAATTTCGCGTTGGGATTGTGAAATGGCCGGGTCTAGCTAGCGCTAGCTATAGAGAGATGGAAAGCAGATGCATTTGCATTTGCGCCGACCGGAAACCCTGGTCTCGAGTTTATCAGCGCGGGCTGGCTTGCTTGTTTTCTTGCGCTTGTTTATTTGGCTTGCGGGAGCATGGGGAGAGCTCCACTGTACATAGGTAATACTCCACCGTTTGTTCGCACGCTTATCGTTATCGTGCAACACTCTTTTTCGTGTCTGGAATCTGAACAGGGTCAAGTCGGGGAAGCCATTTCAGCTCTTCGACTCGATCCTCCGTTCCCGAGGATCCCGTGCAAGGACTCCCAGATAAAAAACCGTTTACGGCATGTCGTATATCATATCTTATCACATGATTAGACAACCATGCGTCGTCGGTACCTTCTTCCCTTTCTTTGCGTAACCCGTCTGCTTTTCTCTCGCGTCTTGCTTCATCTTGCTTGCTTGCTTTATCTGGGATCGGGTTTTCAATCGTGGTACTGAATTCGGGATTTGGACTCACCGCAGTGTTGTGTTCTCTGTTGTTTCTTGGCTATATTTATATTTATATAGAGAGAGTGCTGTGTTGCGATTTTTGATCGGTCAAAGATCTTGGCTTCGGGTTTCGTTCCCGATCTTTGGTGCGACAGACGAGAGACTGGAACTAGGTTTCAGGTACTCGGTACAGTGCGGTGCGGTGGTGGAAACTCCATCGGTATCTGCCATCTGGCATGTGAGCGATGGGTAGGGATGTACGGATGGACAATATGTATGTAGATGAGACTAGATGGGATGGTAATGCAGCACGTATCAAGATGGGATCGTGGTGGGGATGGGAAATGGGATAGGTCGTGTTACACGGCTTCTGGGAGGGAGACGGTGGGTTGGAGATGGGAGAGGTTTGCGGTGGTGGGATCGGAAGGGAATGTGGGAAAGAGTGGGGATTTCGGGAGAGGATTTGGGTGTTGAGGAGTGAGGGGTGAGAATAGGGTATGAAAGTTGTGTGATCGGATAGGGGGGCAGAGTAAAGAGATTTGCGTCCCGAGTGGGCTGGGGAGCCGGGAGTTTGGTAGTCACCACGCCTCAAGTATTTGTTTGGGAAAGCTAGGGGACAGAAGTGGTGTTCGATCAAAGAGCGTCGAACATACTTCCAAAGTTGGATACACAGATGAATTAGATACATAGTACGAAGGTATACGGAGGGAAACAGCAAGATGATCCATCAGGATAATCGAGTTGCGGAAACCTCTTCAGTCTGGATCTGGAATTAGCTGTCGATTCGATACTCGGCCGAGATATCAAGAATTGGATTCCTCATTCTTCATTATGATCTGGGTCTCTTGAAAGCTGAAAATGGGGTACGCTGTGTTGTTATTTGGTATGATGTAGTGTGGTGTGGTGGACTGAGATGGAATGAAATTCTAGGAGGAATAGTGACATTGATAGTCCTTCAGAATACTATCCCTCTATTTTATACACTTCTGAGTCCTCTTTCCTCCTATCATATAATCTAGTAAATGAAGATCATCATGAAAATTTATGGGGAGACCGTGGGAGAGTGTTGGATGGGCATGTGTGGTTTACTAACGATGAATTATGTAGAGGTTAAAACTTAGTGTTGTCACTCGCTACTTGGCTGGTTCTTTTGTGTGAGCTAGCTGCGGAAGGAGAAGGTGGGGAGGAAGGAGAGGGGATGCTGATGTTAATGTTAATGTTCATGTTACGTCTGGGTTTGGAGTTGAGTCTATGTTCAATTGGATCAATCAACAGACTGCTGTAGTCAAGGGGCTTGAGTGTTTGATTGACGTAATGTGTAGGGAGGTAGCGAGTTTGAGATTGCGAAAATGGAGGATCTGGAGGATATGGAAACATTTCTGGGTTGGCAGGAAGTGTGAGGTTCCTGGGGAGCCTGTTCGACTTTTATCAGGGGGAGAGAGGGAATGAGCTCTGTTTTGTTGGGATGTTCATGACAGCTTTCTGGTTGCTGCGAGATTGTTCTGTGGGTCCCGTGGAGTATGATGGATGGCGGGAAGTTTATCGATATTTGAAGGGGCGATGGATATTTTCTCATTGTCGTGGTGTTGTTGGAATGGATTTGGATACTTCTGCTAGCTGGGACTGTTTGTAGTGATGGATGGATGGTCGGTCTATCTTGTTGGGAGTTTGTATGTAAAGGTGAGTTTGGGGATGGTAATTAAAAAGAATTCTAGCGTTTGGGCATGGGATGGGCTGGGTATTGGTTTGTGGATGATATGGGGGGTTGTGGATTGGGCTCATGTATATATGAGGTTATGCTTGTCTTTGGGGGAGAGATAATTCCACAGTCTATTGCTTGTCCGGCCTGCCTTTCAGTATATTTGTTATTTTCTTCTTCAAATAACTTGAACAATCTTGTGTCTGGTGTTCTGATTTCTGGGCAGATCTTACTCCGCGGGAGATGTGGTGAGATGAGAAGATTGCCTTGAGGTTCGTTTCAAGTTGGGGTAGAATTCACGAGCACGAATATCGTTCAACATTTCACATTTCATCAAAGTCGGATCACAAGTAAGATAACCACATGATAAATTTATGTTTTGGATAGTAGATTTAGAGAGAAGACGAAGTTGGGGAATCTGGGTGTCTGATAATTAGGATGGAGACGGTGGAGGGTTGTCTCAGCTTCAATTCAAATGTTGCTTGTACGTCTGTGATTGGTACACGTGAGCAGGAATAAAATGGTGGAAATTTTTTGGGATCTGAGATGGTTGGCGAAGGTGACAATCTGCAAGATGGCACTTGTGGAAGATTTGTGAGGCTCTATGGAAGACTCCATGAAGAGCGACTGAATGCAAAAGCTCATTGAAACAGAGGCTGGGGAAAATACTAATCTTTGAGGAATTTGAATGCGCAACCTGTCTAGGAAGAATAGTGGTGGGTTTGCAGATGAGTCTTTGATTCCTAAGATCCACCTTGGGATAATTGAGAGAGTGAAGCGTATGAATGGCTCGGGATGTAGATAGGGACTCTTGCTGCCTTAGGAACGGATGTTGTAGCTTATATATGCTTATATATGGTATTGCAGGAGACATGGAGTGAGCTATGGGAAAATTTTGGCCAGGGGAAGAGGGATAGAGTATGTTGAAGATGCGGTGTAGTCTTCACTGGCTTCGATTGGGATCTTAAGGGGTTTGAGAGAGCGATTTTGGAAGTAAGCGAAGAAGCCGCATCTGAACTGTAGGAATAAACATTTGGAAAAGCTGATATTCGAACCAAAGAAGGTTATGGAACCATCTCGTTCCTTATCTAATTTTTCTGGGTATTTCCGTTGATCATCGAGGTAAAGTTGTGCAGAGAGGTCTCTGTTCGATTGGATGGACCTAGAATTCATCACCCCTCGTTTAAACAATTGACCAATGTGATTGTCTATTTCACAATACACAAACGTATTCTCAGGTGGATGTATATTTTCAACTTCCAGGAGGGAGGTCTAATATGGGAATTTGATACTTTCATATCTATGAATAAGACAATAGAAGCAAATTTGATTTCTTGAATAGAATGCTAGAACGTGATCCGAGATGATGGAGGGGTACCACATGATGATTATGTAAGCTCCCACACACTCGTCATTGTTGATGCCTGAGTTTCTGCCTCGTAATCATTAGAGCTCTTTCAAGAAAAAGTTCAGTCGCATCAACCTCGAAAGTATTTTTGACCATCAGTTTTGAAGGCTCGCAATCACCCACCACCAATTCCTCTGATCCGACATTCTTTCATTCGCACATACTGATATTACCCCATCCTTTCAGTGCTATCATATTATAGAAAAAAATGTCGTCTTTTGCGCTGGAGAAGGAATCGCCTTTGGGCTTCCTTTACAATAATGCTGCCGCCGGGGCTTTGTCAAATGCATACAACACTTTCCAAGAGAAGAGGGAAGCGCTGGGCCTCTCAAACCCTGGAACAGTTGAGAACATTGCTAGAGAAGTTCAACGCGATGTATTTCTCAACAACTACACATTCTCTGGTCTGAGAGCAGATCTCACCAAGCCTTTCAGCATGGCACCTTTATTCCAAGTCTCCCATGCATTTTCTATGGGATCCCAAGGCTTACCCCCATACACGTTTGGAGCGTTGTTCGGCACAAGCAAGGTCAGTAATGATTTGATGGAGACGTTCTCATCCATCTACACGAGGTTCTTGCTATAAATTTTGGGGAAGAGGCTGACAATGCAATTGACAGATCTTTATGCAAGGAAACATGGACAATGAAGGGCAGCTTACCACTAGATTCAATTACAGATGGACCCCAGCTTTCGTTACCAAGACACAACTTCAAGTCGCCCCCGGTCAAGCTATGATGCAATTAGACAACGAGTATACCGGACAAGATTTCACAGCTTCAATCAAATCTCTCAACCCTTCGATACTTGACGGAGGATTCACCGGTATTTTCATTGGTCAATATTTACAAGCCGTTACCCCAAACCTTGCTTTGGGTTTGGAGGCTGTCTGGCAGCGAGCAGCAATGAACCAAGGTCCCGAAACTGCGGTATCATATTGTGCTAAATACAAGGGTAGTGATTGGATTGCTAGTGCTCAATTGCAAGCGCAAGGAGCTGTAAACACATCGTTCTGGAGAAGATTGACAGATAAGGTCGAAGCTGGTGTGGATCTCAACTTGCAATTCGCGGGGTTGTCTGGAGCTGGAATGATGGGAGGACCAATTAGAAAAGAGGGTGTCACAACTGTTGGTGCTAAGTATGACTTCAGAATGTCTACTTTCAGAGCTCAAGTCGATTCAACTGGAAAGTTGAGCTGCTTATTAGAGAAGAGAGTTGCACCACCTGTGCAACTTACTTTCGCAGCTGAGATGGACCATTTCAAGGTATTTGATTCCTTAACCGACAATTGTTATATCTTTACTAACAAGTTTTATTAGCAAGCAGCAAAGATTGGAGTAGCAGTTTCCATCGAATCTGGTGACGAAGCGGTCGAAGAACAAGCAATGGCAGTCGGAGGTGCCCCACCTCAAATCCCATTTTAAACATATGGGGTTCGACACAATGCTTCCCAAAGCACATCCTCCACTCCCAAAAATTAATCGAATTTTAATGCCATAACATAAAAACCTTTACGAACAAGAACATGTACACCGACCACCCACCTACCCTATCTACTCAACGGACTCATCTCTGCTATGCCAGGCCTTCATGAAAAGCTTCTTCATTTTTCTTCGAGATGTTTTACTACAACCATGAACCTCGTTTTGTTCTGCTGCTGGAAGAAGAGGTACATTTCTGCATGCATGTCCGAACCAAAAGATGATGATCCAACCCTTTTCCTTTTCTTCGATCGTATCATAGACTTTCTTTATACCTCATGTTCTCGGGACCCTGCGTTGTTGGAGCAGCATATCTGGAATTTGGGTTGGAATGGAAAGCATTGCGAGTGCTTTTGTTTAAGATAGCGGATAGGTTGATGCAAAACTTGGGCATGGATGATGCATGAGATATCATGAGGGAGATGTTATATGAGGATGAGTACTTCTGTATTATAGTGATTCGATTTTGCAGCGACGACGATGGGAGGGAGGCATGATAGTATTTGTCACTGTAGATACGTAGCTGTGTATAAAAGATAGGATATGATTGAATGTCCATGAAAACGAAGTTCCTTCAATATAATCAACATAATTGAAGTGAATCGAGCTGGAATATGAATGGTTGTTGTTGATGAGGCATCAACTCTAAATCCAGGCATGCATAAATTCAACCCGCTTCAACCCGTGCACCCGAAGTGAATTTTCTCGAAAACCTTTCTTTATGATTGGTCAAATGAATGCATCTATTGACTAATCTTTGATCTACCACTTATCTTGATAATCTTAGCTGAAGCTAAATCAAGGACAATCACGAACCGCATTTTCGTCCTCCAACCTTCGAAAACTCATACAACCACAGACATTTGGTATTGATAGATTTCGTGCTTCCTATCAAAGCATACGGCGGGCGGTTGAAAAGAGTTCATTGCACAAGATTACCGACCGATATCTGAAACTACCAAGCGCCGAGGAGTTTTGAAAGGAAGTCCGGGTATATCCACGAGAGCAACTGGTGGAGTAACTAGAGGCTGCGTGAGACAAATATTGAACAAAGCTTTGCCTCAATACATTAACCAGAGCGAATCCACTAACGCGTGTACGGTTCATTGCACTTGCTCGTCTCTATTCTTCCGGGAACACGAGGATTTAAAAGGTGCTTTGTACAAGGAAAGGCAATCTCGATATTACACAATATACGGGATTTGATTTTGAAGTCACGGGATCACCAAAGAATAGAAAAGAGTGATTCGAAGAAAAGGAAGCAAGATTCACGAGTTATTGTGAGGCTACAGTGCATTCACTTCATCTGTCCGATTCCAGAATATTTGAGGATTTTGGTCCAAGACCAATCATAACAGATTTAGATTGAAGAGCTGCTCTTCCGAGAACCACCTTGTCGGGAAACCTGGAAAGATGGATACTTTATTGTGAGTGGTTATAAGTTTTCTGGTTATTCACTTTTACCCCCTCGTTTAAGATTCAGGTAGCCTTGAGATGATTTGGTGCATCATTTCTCTTTCCTTATTCACTCTTCCAACTCTGGACTTGCCTCCAGCAGTAATTGGAAGCCGCAACGGCCTCTTCTTCTCAATCACAGTCACCTGCATTATTTTCTCCAAACGCTCTATTAGCACTACCATGGCGAGACTCGAGCTCGTCGATACTTTGTTTACTGAGACTGACCATGAGCTTAGAACTGCGGAAATTGCGGCCAATTCTCCTCGTTTTCGTCGAAGATCTTCAACTTTCATCGATGGCGTTCATGATTTGCCAGATGAGAAAGCCACTATGGCACCGGCTCAATTGTATTCAACTGAGTCGGGTAGACTTTTCCATTCCGGAAGAATCGCTATTGTCCTAGTTGGTCTTCCTGCGCGTGGAAAAACGTGAGTCATAATTCCAGATGAGGTTTAAGATGCAATTTTACTGATTGATTACTCTTGCGCAGACATATCTCTGTCTCTCTATCGCGTTATTTACAATGGTAAGGTTTCATCTAATGCTGAACATCTCTTCTCTGCTAATTTCTTCCAGGTTGGGTGTTAAGACAAGAATCTTCCATCTAGGAGATTATCGTCGTGCTACAATGGGTCCAGGTCAGGATGTCCCTGATGACTATTTCTTTATCAATGCATCTGCTGCTTCAGTTATGCTTAGACAAAAGATTCTCAAGAAGTGCCGGGAAGATATTTATGCCTGGCTCAATCATGAAAATGGTCAAGTTGCTATCTATGATGCTGTCAATCCACTTTCTGGTGGCCGCAGGTCTCTTGCAAAAGAGTTTGCTAAGCATGATGTCCAGGTATGGCAACTCAACAACAATTTCATCCTCAATGTACATTCGCTAATCCTTGTTTTAGACATTGTTCCTTGAATCATATGTTACAGATGAAAAGATACTTCAGGAGAATGCTCGAAGTGTCAAAATATCATCTCCAGATGTAAACCTCCCTTCAGAGTGTTGGAAGTACCAGGATGATGCTAAGATACCACAATCGCAGTTTGTTGGCATGGATCCTGAGGATGCTGCCAAACTTTATCTCAAGAGGATTGACATGAAAATTCCTCATTTCGAAACTATGACTGAACCTGACCTTAACTATGTTAAAATGATCAACGCTGGTGAGCGCATTGATTATAATAACGTCAGCTTTGGCTATCTTTCTCATCGAATCGTCTTCTACCTAATGAATCTCCATATCAAATCCCGTCAAACATTTTTTGCTCGCGCAGGCACATCTAGTTTAGATGATTCCTACAAAGCCGATGCATCCCTCTCTGATGAAGGTCGAGAGTACGCGAAGAAAATGTCTGATGCATTACTCAAACATCGTGAAGAGGAAAGAGCAGCCTCTATCGCAGCAGGTGGTTCTGATGCACCTCTTAAGCCACTAACAGTTTGGTCTTCGACTAGAAAGAGAACTGTAGAGACCGCAGAGTATCTTAAAGGAAAGGGATTTAGAGTCAGACAGAGGAGTCAAATGAGTCAGCTGAATCCAGGAATTTGTGAGAAGTTGAGTGAGAAGGCGATGAAGAGACTGTATCCCGACGAGGTCAGGATGCATGAGTTGGATCCTTATCATCATAGATACCCGCGTGCTGAGGTATGTATTTTCTCCCCTTACCATATGCTCCTTGCCCTATGACTTGGACATTCCACTTCCAAACATTTCTGGTCCTCCGCACCCATTGGTAAGCAAAGAAGCTAACAAGAGCGATAGTCATACCATGATCTCGCAGTCCGCATGGAACCAATCATTCTCGAGCTCGAGAGAGAACAAAATGACTTGCTGATTATTGCTCATGAGTCTGTATTGAGGGTTTTGTATGGTTATCTTATGGCTTGTGATGCCATGAACATCCCTACGCTCAAGTTCCCTAGAAATGAAATCATTGAGGTATGTATTTGCCAATCTGCTCATGTTCCTCCCCTCCCCTCCGTTTCCTTGCTCTTTTCAATCCCGTCCCTCCTCTACTCCCTTCTCATAGTTTACAACAATACCTACGACAATTCCACACACATACTAATCTTCGCAAATAGATCATTCCCGCCTCCTACCAAAACGAAGCGAAACGCATCCACATCGATGGACTCGCACCAGAAATTATCCCGGGCTCCCCAGAAGATATTAGAATTCCTGTTCCACCATCTACTGCTCCTTCGGGCGTTCAAAGCCCCTTTTCAGGAATCGGAACGCCGGCTTTAGGAGGAAGTGAGGTGGTTACACCTGCCGGGGAGAAGATTGGGGGAGAGAAAGGGGGGATGAAAGGAATCAATCCTCTGTCGCAGGACTAGGGGAAAGAATAGAGAAGGAGAATAGGGCAAGAGAAAGTGGAAAGGGCGGGAGGTGCGAGTTTGGGGGCATCTGGAAGGGAGAGAATTATGATTCGTGATGGGATGACATGAACATGAGACACGAGAGAAATGCGGGATGAAACGCTAATTCCAGAAATGGACATGAATATAAATATAAAAAGAGTTTTTTCCCTTTTAAGTTTTTCTTACGTCTTGCCATGTCAATTTATGTTACTGACTATGTCTATATATATACATCGAGTAAACTGGGTAGTTACGCCTATATTCAATCCGCTATTCAGAATACGATTTGAGGTATTGATTCTCGGCAATCGAGAAAATGGCAAATTACCCTCATGCCCTAATACAGATTCTAGCCGGCAAAGGTTAGGACCATCGGGCTTAAGGCTGATTCTTTGTCATACATTCTAGCTTATAATCTACAGTCGAAGGCTAGCTTCTAAAGTGAAGTAGATTCTATAGTACAGGTTCTGGTTATTATAGGTTAGGATCGAGCTAGGTATGACGAGAAGTCATGTTATATAATGATGATGATAGGGATGGAATCAGCTGTTTCATGTCAGTATTTGAAGAATTCTCCTGAAATCATAGTTTCGGATTATGACAGACTAAAAAATATTTTTTTGAGGTAGAGTTTGTAGTATAGATTGTAAGATTGTGAGGCTAGGATCTATGGAATATGAAAGTACAGAAGGTCAAATCTCTGGGGCTTGAGAGTGATTTGCCGTTAAGAATGTTGAGTGTTGGGATGAATGATGGAGATTTGCTTACTGATATTTGAGATTCTAGATGTTTTAAAGTTTCATATGAATTTATGCTTCGGATGAGTTAGTTCAGGGTGGATGGAGAAAGGGTAATATATTTCATGTTCAGAAAATTGAACAGCGTTGGATATGCGACACCTTTATCAAGAAACTTGCACATTCTGAAAATGTATCTGAATACGTTTCACGATTAATGTATTTGTCTGTTTGAGTATCTACGACAGCTTATTGACAGTTGACTGCTAGAGATGGCGAGTAATATTCAGTTGCGCTTCAGATTAAAACAACGCGCTTAGCCACATCACGGAGAGCTATGACGAAAATTTATGGATTCAAAATGAATTCGTATCATTAAACAAAGCTCTACAACGAAATGACATCAAAAAACAAAAAGTCTGAGTTCTAGCCCAGCGTGGATTATGACTTTACTTGGCCGTTAAGCCTTTGCTTTGCATCATCAAAAGATGGCGGCTTCTCCAACAGTTTCGTTACCCCCCTGAATAACCCTGCTACTCTGAGCAACATCTGCATAATTAACAAGACATATGGCGATTCGGAAAGAAGAAGCAGCCTGGCTTCATCAATCTGCTCTTTTTTTGATAATCGCCAGGTTTTCATGATTTAGTTCTAGATCCTCCTCATTGACCAGTTTGGCATCCGAAGAAGAATATGAAGATTCAACGTCTGTTCTCAACTCACTCTCCAGTTCGACTACTTCTTCGACTGGCCTCAAGGTTGATTTTTCCGGTTTCATTATAGACTTTTGAGCATTCTGCTGTCTTCTATCTACAAATATTGAGAGAGCTTTTGTAAAGTTCTCGATAGCAGGATGTGCTGGATCTCCCAGGGAAAAGTTCGAGACCCCTCGAATTAATGTGGGGGAACCAATGGTAGCTCGTGATTGTTCAACAGGGTTAATAATTGCTCGATTTATGCTTGGTCCTGGGGCGTTTTTGCCGCGATCCCACCCAGTTGAACGAATGGGGGCACAGCATGTGGCACTTCTGTCGGTACAGCTACCAAATTTTCGATCTTCATTGCCCTGGGGAGAGCATCTGCCAGCGCATCGAGCTGGAGACTAGAGCCGTTTTTACGAGGAGGACCAACCAATAAAGTTGTTACTTTGCTTCCCTTTGCCCTTGAGGAGAATTTTAAGTGTCTCCTGATCCTATCTTTAGGACTTTTCAGCTTTCCTTCAATATTGACCTCCATGTAGAACGCATCACCCGCATGCTCAAATGCAAATGCAGTACGAATAACATCACTATGCGTGGCTTGTATCTCAAAATCACTCTCTATCAAGTCCCACTTCAATGTTCTATACACACTTGTCTTGTGGCCCTTCTGATTCGGGTAGTCTGCAGGTATCAGATAGCTATTGAAGTTCCGTCTACTACTGCACAAAGAATCTTTAACTCTATCCAAGCCATCTTCGCCGCCTTTGTTACTAAAAACTGTGAAGTAGCGTGAAGTGAACGGTTTTTTTCACGGAAACTTTTCTCTCTTCGCCCAATAGTTGCTTTGGACTAAAGCGATTGGTGATATGCGAAGAACTTGAAAGAGATTCATCCTTTCTGTTGCCATCCTTATTTTCCTTGGAAGTAACAGAGACAGTTGCCTGAAACAATCTGCAATCGCCGGGTTGATGAAAACCGAGGCTCATGTAAATGATTCCAGCCGTGTTCTCAGCATGTCCTAAGACACCCCATTTCGATCTTGAGAGCTGAAGTTTACAGTCGACTCTGACTTTCCCGACGTTCCGATTACGCAAAAACAGATCTTCTGGAGGATTATCGATCAGTTTCAGCACACGTCCAAATAATCGTGAAACTTTTGGTGGGTTAAGCAAAGCGTGTGAAGTCACTGTATGTGTAATCAATTGCGAATTTAGGAGAGCCAATATTCAAATTGTTCTTACACAACAAGTTTTAAGTACTTACTTTTATTACACCATCTTTCACTTGCGGCTCTTACTTGCGTTGAAGCTCGTGTTGCTAATTTGCATCCAACATGGATTGGATGTGTTGTACTCCGGAATTACACTACAGACTTGCGCCATACTACAATTTCTCTCCAATATGACCTTATCAGATTATTCCTGAAGTTTGCCCTCCATATTGTGTCGGCACTTGACCTAGGGAGCCACGATAGCTGGTCACCTTGGTGGGAATAGATAGAATGCATGATATCTGATGCGCGGGCCGCACGATTGAGAACATAGATGGACAGTGAACGTTGCTTTTAAACTGGATCTCTGACTATTGAACATGATGATTCTTTCATTTGTGACCACTGATGACAAGATTGAATATTAATTAATGTAATATCCCCTCATCAAAAAGGGCGAGATGAAAGGAAATCAACCTCACATGAAATGGTGGATCTAAGTTCATTTCTTCACAAAACAATTACGTAATTATTCAAAATCTTCTCTAAGAAACTTGTGATGATATATTAAAAAGTAAGTCGATAGAAAAAAGTATATTCCAGGGCTTGAAAAGGAGGGGGGAGGGGAGAAGCAGAGATTTCGAACACCACGAAAATGATGACTCTCATTATTTGTCTATGCTTACAAGCTTCCTGGATAGTCTTTGGAAGCAAAAGTATTTCAAAAACAAAGGAAGTGTCTGAGAAATTAAATATATTCTTTTGCTTTTTCTTATTGTCTTACCCCGCTCGGTTAATCTCAATTCTTTGTGTCGCAGTAGTCATATCCTTCATCCCTAAGCCCCACGTAAACACGTCGATCATTTGTATGCGACAATTGAAAGTGTATCTGAGCTGTGAATGCGAAAGCATAAATCTTCTAACATGTCGAATATATTAAACATCGGCAATGGTGAGTATAATGAACGACAACCTGAGGGTGAAAGTTCTCAGTTCCAAAATGAATTGGCCGAAGACTCCCAGCAAGGCTGCCCATCAATCAAAAAGGACGATACCGAAAGTGGGTTTATATTTCGGGACGAAAAACCCTTGTCTGCACTGATATCAGAAGGGGAGACTTTAAATTTAGCCGAGACTCCTGGTTCCACAGGAAGTATGGAGGTTACTTTTGACTGTGAATACGATCTTGAGGCATATCTGGAAGATTTCTCTCGTCTCACGAGGAAGGGTAAATTTGATGCCGCCAAAGATCTTTTCGAATCTTGCCCGTCGGACTTGAGAGATCATCCGGAATTTGTTCTAGACTTTGTGGATACTTTACTGAAGCAGGGTGCCTACAAGACTTTGGTGAATTTTGCTGCAGATAAAGAGTCGACTTTGCTGAAGCAGCTGAGCGACTGTGGACAGATTCCTAGTCAGTACCTGCTTTCCGTATTTGAGTTGGGAAGACGGCGTGCTTTTGGCTACTTGCCCGATAGTGAAGCGAAAGATGTGGGGGCTGATAAAGTCCAGTTGGAGTTACTGGCGAAGTTTGAGAATCTTGATTCAATTCAGGTAAGCTGCTTGTACCGTGTGTTGAGGTTTTGTCTGATCAATTCCTAGGTACAATTGCTTTGTAATATAATTCAGCTGGATTCCGAACCAGTGAAATACATAAAGTTACCAATGAATGTCCCTCAAGGTACAAAAAGTATGACAGATAGCTCGTTGAACTGGCACAGTTTGTACAAGCACCTTCTCTCGACTAACAGAATATGGGATATGCGAGATCTTCTCCAGGCTCTTTGTTCCAGATATGGAGTTGGAGGTGCCATTAAATTATTTCTCAAAAATCGGCAACAGGCAGCCTCCAAGAGAGTTCTGGAATCAGATGAATTGGAATTCAGTGAGTGGTTCCACTTTATGTTTGACTGGACCCATAGTTCCCATGGTGATGAGTCTACAGACTTAGCCCTTCTTGAAATGTTGGTCACTATCTCGCTTCAATTACTATCGCATAGCAGTCAAAATGATCCGTCGATCACGAAGATCATCAATCAGGCCATGGCGCATGCCAACCAGTTTGCAATCTCGCTTAGCCTCAGTAATCCAGACAACGTTCAAACGAACCCCTATTTAAAATGGGCTTTGGCCAACCAAAGACTAGCGAGACAACTGCCATCCAATCCGCGTCAGATTCCAGATTATAAGTACATAAAGCAATCTCAAGGGGTTATCATATGGACTTCTAATCTGCCGATCTACGTTCCATTAGACCCTCATGATTTGACCCCCATGCAATGGAAAAGACAGTCTCGAAGCACGCCGGAGAATTTGCTTAAGCTAGGGCTAGAAATTTCTCACAAAAATGGCGATTATTCTTTAGTAGTACAATACTTGCAAGAGATATTTTACACATCTGAGACTCCTATAGAGGTACTGACCGAATTGTCGCGCATACAAAAAGACTTGCAGGGAGACAGCATTGGTTACTTACAAACCTGTCTGACGAAATACCTATGCGTGAGTGATGAAACTGCTATGGAAAATCTCAGTATTGAGATAAAGAATTTCGACGAGAATACCAAGCAATTAGACTTCACTCGGATAATTGACCCGTTAACCAGATGGTGTCAACGAGGCATCCAAGCCGCATTGTACAAGCGCCTACATGGGAACAAACCATTGGAAAATCCATACTTGGAGAAACAAGACAATGCATACCGGGAGCTGCCACATGATTTTAAACGCTTATTAGCAGAAGTAGTAAAGGGGCTCGGTGCTTACAGACTGAATTCCGCTGACGAAGCGCTGCCGAACACGTCTACAGAACCTTGCGAGGGGACAATCTACCGAGATGATAATTTCATTGTCTGCGACTCGTCAGGTTACTTTACCAGAATGTTTGAAGAGCCAAGTCATGAAGAAGTATTGATTGAGATGTAACCTTTCAGTATCAAGAGTAGCATAGCATGTACATTGAAATATTGTTTTCTAGTGCTATTTTTTGCTTTAATACTAATTACTCGAGGTTACATTGTAACATTGCATCGAGACCTCTGGAAGCGTATGATAGTTTGGGACATTGTCTTTTGATAGCACTTCGATCAGTTTATACATGCGCTTCAATACAACATCTTGTTTCTGATTCTTATTCCCTAAATTCGGGCAGTGAATTAGGATCTGGCTCCTCAGTAGAATATTATAAGTTCTTGAACCTTACAGTTTCAATATAATTCGATGAGATACTTGAATATCATAAAAAATAGTCCCCTTCAGCGGAAAATACAAGGCGATTATAAGATCTTGCTCATTGATAGTTCTTTCTGAATCTTTCTAATGTCATTAAATCATTAAAGGATACTAAAAAAAAGAAGATTGCTCAATTGATAAGTGGTTAAGTCTAGACAGTGATTAGAGACGGCTTCAGGTGATAACTGGTAAATCCAAGGCGCGAAATGTTATAAAAGTGGGCTCACCATGATATTGAAATTTTCAAGTCAAAAAAGTAGTACCTAGGTAAAGATTTTCTTTAGCTAAAGCAGCTCAATCATGAGAGGTAGTGAAATTGACGTTTTTGTGAAGTAATAATTATATGAGTACTATTGAGGGAACTGATAACCTATGCTACCTATGCTATAGCCTTAACGTCATCATATTCTGAATATTTTTCGACGTTGAAAGGTCTCCCAGAATTCAATGCATACATCTCGTTCATCCTCATTCTGAATGCGGCAATAACAGCCAATGGCATAACAGATCCATCACTAACGCCATCAAGCTTTTGCTGTGCTCCGCTAGAGCTGTAATAGAAACCTTCTTTTATACACATATCCAATCTCTGCCTGCCATGTCCAAAACTCGCTGTACGCATTACAATACTCGGGTCATGTCTGTTGTTCCAGTTCCACTTTGGGCTCAGCAGCTTTTCAATCCGTGAGTGAGGAAGACCCTGGGTGTCGAACACACGAATGAAAGGTTCAATTTCGGCATGCTTGCGTGAGTCTTCTAATCCTTGGATTATTAAATCGAATTCGGGCATCCAGAGGTGACCGTCGCGTATTACGAAAGTACCATTGAGCTTGATTGCACTTTCAGTTACAGCGATATTATCAAAGATAGGGTGAACCGAAGGGTATTGTTTCCGGCCGCTAGCCCACCATTTCGTGAGCTCATCGGTTCCATTGAAATGTAATTCGCGCCAGACACCATTATCTATATCGACATCGATAACAAAATTTGCAGTGTTGGTTGTGTTACCAGAGAAACGATGAAAGTATTGATAAGGCTCTTTGCTGCCAAATTTTGGTGCAAGTACGGGAGCGAGGTAGAAGGTTTGATTATCGATAGAGGCATTGAGACTGTGGAGATTGTATGTTGACGCTGCGAAACGAGTACCTATCTCGACTCGGGTGTTGAAACCATGGCAAGAGTCTTTCATCTGATTATACCATTGTATGTCTGGACCACCGATGATTCTAAATGTAACAAATATCAGTGGAATTTCCATGATAACTAATATGAAGAGGGTCAGTTTACGTACCCGATGATTGGCATGGAATAAAGTCCCAAAATACAGCACGTCAGTAAAACCCCTCCTATAACTGCTCTTAAAAACTTAAATTTGTATCCAGTCTGTCCGGGATTGCCGTTAAGTATCTCCAGGAAGAACTTCGTCCCTTCACTTAAGCAGTTAATGCAGTATAATCCCCCGAAAGGGAAGTAGAATATTCCAACCACAAGCAAACAAAGTTCTTCTACGAATGAAAGGCCGCCTTTAAAACGAGGATATAAGTATGGCTGTGTATGCCACTTGATGTGAAAGGTGATATAGGTATAAATACCCCCAAATAGAGCTAAAATGAGCATGGACTTGCAGAAGATAGTGCAAAAGTTTAGCCTCTTGCTTTTGAATCTACCCCAAACAGTACTCATATTTTGCGGGTTGGGTAAACGATCATTGGCACATCTTCCACATTCATACTTGCATGGCCCTGGGTGACATGGCTTTCGGCAAGATGACTTGTTTCCGTGAGCACATTTTGACCTACTACCGCAAACACCATCAAAGCACGCGTTCGGGATGGTAGGGTGGTTATGTAATGGGCTACCCTTTCCACACCAGCATTTTCCCTTGGGGCTCGAGCGTTCAATATTTTCACATTTGGGACATTTCCAAGCAAGGGTCCTTCCAACTGGTTTTGCCTTGGCCCATAATAGCGTACATCGATGGTGAGTAACAACATGGCAAGACTTGCAATTCCACAAGTAACGATCCTTCGCAAAGCGTACGGGTTCTAAGCAAATTTCACACGATAGACTAGAGCGAATGTTAGCATCAATATGTAGGGGTTGTTGATATCTAAGTAGTTGCCAAAACACTAACCGTTCATTTCGAATGTCTTCGATGATACGGCTCTCTTCTGAGGGAAAACTGGATTGATCAACTGCATCTCGTTGTTGTGTTTCGCTGGACAGGCGTGCAGTAGTGCCGGTTTCAATGTCTTGCAGAGGTGTTGCGTGCCTATCATCAAATGGATCTTCATTACTGTCATCAAAGGGATTTTTAGTGCTTGTGCGACTAGGCGACCACGACGAGCCGTTCATCCAAGAAGTTGAATTTGAAGCCATCTCGAGAAGATGTTGAACATAAAAAAAAATAAGTGAAATGGAAAGAATATCCGTGAAGGGACGGGGAAATAACCGTATATATACTAGAAGAAGTCGATGCATGTCTCCTAGAACTATCCCAAACTGCCTCCCTAGTGCTGAAGCTACTAAAACCATATCATGATTTATTGGACCGTTGCATCTCCGCAATTTGTCACTATAACATTTAAGACGGGCAGACTAGAAGTATCTGGTATAGCATGGGCTGAGGACACTGGATCTTGACGTCAGATATTCTAGAAGCAGCAAATAGCATAAGATAATGAAAATGACACCAGAGCAAAAACACATGATTTTTATTGCCAAGAACTTCATTGGTAGTCCTAAAGATACTAAAGTTGAGAAATTTCCAGGATTAAAGTTAACTGTAGGGAAATTTTCAACGAAGACCTTTTTTCATTGCCTTAGATAGTCTAGTACACTAACTACAACAGTCACCCCTCGGTTTCATGAACTATATATGATATGAATTTCGTAACATCAAGCGCGATATCTATATCGTTTTGTTAGATTGTCGTCAGGTACCAGGTATAGGGAACTTGCTACCTTTAGGTTTCAAAAGATACACGGAACGGGCACCCGATATTTCTCAATCTCGAGATGTTCGGACTTTCAGATTTGTAATTTGTATGTATTATCTGAGAATTGGGAGAAAACCAAGCAGAAGTCATAAATGACGTGAATGCCACCTACAAAGTGCTCTACTATCCAAATTAGTAAAGAGTAGTTGATTTTAAGTTTGATACTAGCATTTTCTGATGTGCGGTCTAAGCTTGAATCGGTCTGGATTGCCAAGGAAAATGGTATTCGTGACTTGCAGTAGTCTCTTTCTCAATTTCGTACTACTCTGGGATCGACTAAAGTGTTAGCTTGCTGAGGTCAAGTGGAGTAAATCTTGATGATTAAGTATTTGCAAAAAAGACTTTGTAAAAGCATCGTGTATGTTATCTATCTGTATCATTGGTCTTGCGGATAGTGCATTGTATCTCCTTTCCACTCTTGTCATCTAATTAATTCCTACTGTAGCGACTCACGCAACAATATCCAATTTTCAATATCTGTATCTTTCTGTTGTTTGTATGATTTTCGAAAAGTTTAACAATTAGGAGTGCATTTGTGATGCAGTACAAAATGAGATATGAAAAGTATCCTCCATCAAAATATGTAAATAGGGACGAGTGTTTCTTAAAGTACACGAAGAGTCCCTACAACCATCTTATTCTTGCTGCTGGCTATTATTGGAACACGAAAAATTACCTGAGGGACATGTTTTATCTCCAAAGTAGACCCAGTCAACGTCCGGGCTTCCAGCATTCCAAGGCCTGTTGATGCCTGCACCACAGCTTTTGCATACAGAAATCGGATTGGAAAATATAAAACACGTCCACAACATTTAGACAACTGTCTTGTACACAAGTGGCGATTAGGTTTAACTGGCCGTGGAGGAGGTGCAGGAGGAATGTTTGATCATCTACTGATACCGCCGCTTGTTTCTGGTGGCATTGCTGTTTATTATCGTTCTGTATACACTTGAGGTTAATATCGTTGTTTTATCATTATGAGATGCTTAGCTCTCTGCTACAACAAATTGCAAGCAGAAGTAGGAAGGACCTGGGGGAGTTACCTCGAATGTCCGAATGGAAGATTTATGAACGACAATCGAGCCGTGGTGATGAGGCAATCTTGAAATGAGTCCAGAAAGAGCACTTTTTGATGGTGGAAAATTGTTTCGACAAAGACGTTACGTGAGGCGTGTGGAGTCGTAAAGGCAAGTCGTTAAGGAGTTCTATATGATTTTGTGGTCTTCTATCATTTTTTGAAGTGCGTAACTGTATTTGATTGCATCAAAGTATAACCAAAGGGGTTTATTGATCGTACTTGAACATTTAGTACCCCTGCAAAGTCCTTCTTGTGTCCTCAAAAATGACTCCGAATGGCACTCAGACGTGATGATTCGTCTCAAAAAAGCTGAAAATGACTAAGGAAAGTCATTGGTTTGATTTCAAATCCTCTTTTGACTGGAAATGCTTATGCTGGTTGAAAATACACATTTTGGTAGGAAACAATGGTCCCTGTGACCACGATGTTCATCTTGGGATATGAATGTACATGGAAGAACGCGAAACTTTCTATGATACATACACTTCTCTACTAGGTCTATGTACTCTCATAGATTCTTCTCCTGCTGTATCAGTCACTTGGCCTAAATCCTCAAACATGAGTTGAGGTCTGAATATCTGTTTGAGATCCTTTACCATCTTTTTTATCGTAGGTCGATATGGAATATTCTTTGGGGCTTGTCACAAACCGGTCAAAAGTGTCATTGACGCATCTTTAAATACTATGCAAGTACAATTTTGTCAAAGACCACCGCGAATAAGTTGGCGCGGGCAATGGGGTTTTGTGAATTGCCTGGATAAAAAAAAAAGCAATGCTAGGTGGTATTGAATTTTGTGGAGTATGGAATACGCGAATGGCATGTTATGCCAAGCCCTCTGGTCGTATTGTAATCATTCGATCCTGGAACAATCCCTTTACTTTTTTGAAAATAGCATCGTGCAGGTGATTAATAACTTGATAAATCTTAAGCAAGTATCAAAGATTCAGCTCATGCTACCGAGAAAGGAAACACACCATCATTAAGTATACTCACTATTCTGCTTAGCATACCACATCTTTGGCTGAATAGTGTCGGCAACAGTTTCAATTTACTCGTATTTGTATTTTCACTAACAGCACCAACAAATGGCCTACGCCCATTATTTCTCGGGGATAAGTTTGTCTTTGAGATAAATGGTTTGTGCATACAGAGAATCTGCATTCTGAGGATCTTCCATGACCATCGCGACATCTACGCATTAGATACGACCGCTCATTATTCTGTTACCGAGACATCTCTTCAAAGATTGTATGAATGGCAAATTGCATATCCCAAGTCATCTTGTCCAAAGCACAAGAGGAACGATCTAAGTGCCGATTTATCACCTTGCCTCTAGCCTATACTGTGGGATTGATTATAGTGACAGTGGTTTGCTCATCAATTCTTCTGTATGCTTTGAAGATTTTCGGGTAATGAAGTTGAATCATCCGAGTTTGTGAGCTCCAAGACGATAGGAACAGAAAATACCAGGCCCATAGTGATGAGAAAGACTCCATACCCATAGTAAAATTGCCTCAAATTTGACTATGAGCTAAGTAAGGCTGAGCGAATGGTAATGAAAGTTGCTGATTCATTTTCTGAATTGGTCGCAATGATATATTATCAGAATCGGGTAAACTTACTGGGCTTGTGACCGAACTGACATCAATATCCAATGGAATAGACATCGATGCATATGAAATTGCTTTCCCTGAAATATTGAGATGCACTTTGCACACTGTCATTATGATATACCAGTATCTTAAAACAATGGTACCATGTGAAGAGCATAGTCGCGATGCCGAACTGCTACATGGTATTGATGTTCACCCCAGGAAAACATGTTCCGCCCTATCTCATTTTTCACCAAGTACCAGTTGTTAGTCCAATGAGTTCATAGATGAATGAATGCATATTCCACGAGAAAACTAGTGGCGTTCTATCCACCTGCAAGCCCTTATACCAATTGTGAAAGTCACAGAGCATGCGGTCTTTCATGAAACATGAGATTGCAATGGAAGATGCTGAAACCATGCGTCGAAAGGGGAAGAAGTCGGAAGACATTGTGAGTATGATTTGAGGTAGGCGACATGAAGAGAAAGAAAAAGGGAAAGCAGTCAATTCCCATGCTGGGGCTTAAATTGCCTTTGCCTCACTGAAACTGTGTCCTGAATGTCAGACTGGCTATACCTCAGATAACGAGTCTATGTTATGGTCTAAAGTCAGCAGATTTACTTTTTATGCTGGGTCTGGAAACATACTTATGAAAGTAATGATTTGTTGTGACGAAGGCCGGAACTGTTCTCTGCAAGTGGATACAGTCTGTACTTTTGTACGTGAGTTTATATTCGAGATACACACATATGGACAGTCTTGGCTAGGGCAACAAGTTATCTCAGGAAGTATTTCGTGAAAATTGTAGAGATAAAATGATTCCAGAGTTTTGCGCTGGCATTTGAAGCTCCTGAGACCGATGTTCCCGATTGCCGAGATCTACGCACCAAGATGCCCGCAATTGCACCAGTCGCCCTTGTCTGCCGTTCTGTCGTTGCCTGAAATTGATGTAAAAAATCCTTGATCTACCCAGCTCTTGAAGAAAATATAATCGGGGACAGTTGCGTTGCTCATTGATATTGGGTGAATTAATTGGTGGGTGTGGCACAGTAAGTTGGGGGGCCGCCCATGCTCAATGGCGGGGAAGAGTCACCACACCGGAGTGGCTCTTAACTTCTCTATTTGTGACTCAAACCAATATGTATCTGACTTGTATTTAGCTAAAGGTCATCTTCTATGATCTGATTATTTCGCAATCAGTTTTCTTCTCGTAAAGAAAGCTATATAATCAAATATGGCTTCATGGAAATTGGTTCTCGAGCCAGCCAACGAGGGCAAAATCAAATATACCTCATTCGCCAATGCCAGAAAGTATTTCGCTATCGATGCTTCAGGATCTACAAATGGCATTCGATTCATTTCGGAACGTAATTTCGCAGATGGGATTCACGAAACCTCTGTACGAAAAGATGAAGATAGAGTCACGAGATGGGGTTGCAACTGTGAAGACCCAACGAATTGGGAGCAATGTTTCTGGGCTCCTGACCAGGGTGGAACGCAGCCACAACACATATTGAGGAACCAGAAGTCGATTCAAGCGATTCGTAATTCTGATATTTGGTTCTTACTTACAGATGGAGAGGTCCCTAATTCTGAGGTGCACACGCTAGCGGGGTTGGGACAAGAACTGGGAGTGTTTGATTGCGCGACAGTGTTTTTGATTACTTCAAATACAAGGAATGCACCAAATCATGCCAATGTGTCTGTGGGTATCACATCCTACGCAAATTGTGCGAATGCACTATGCCTATTCAAAGATTATAAAAGCAATCGAATTTATGTAATAGGCAGCAAAGGCGCTTTTGCAGCATTAGATCAAGCAGAAGATTACGATACGTGGGAGAAATTGACCAGTTTTCCTAGCGAAGCAGCGCTGATTCAGAAAATCACCGAGTTGGAGATTCATGTCCCAACAGCCGAAACGAGAATTGCAACACCAACTCAGCTCAATTTGGGCGAAGAATGGAACGCCGCTCACAATAATTCCCAACCTACCTTGGTAGATATTGACATGCTTCTTCGAGCGGGATTCATCTCGGATGAAGATCGTGATCTACTCTTTTCAGACGAAGCACTCGATGCTCTGCTTCTAGCTTGCAAGTCTCGCGGAAAGCTGAATGAGCTTAGATCATTCCTTCTCGCCCAAAAGGTCGAACAATTGACCGTCAAACTCGAAGACGTATCTGGTGCTGCGGGTCTCATTCATCTTCTTGCTGATCAAGAAATATCTAGCGAGACTAGAACCCTCCTGCAATCCAAGCTAAGAGACTCCCATGAGGCAAACCGTAAAGCTTATACCGCAGCTCAAAATAATGTACAACTTAAAGCTATTCGGGATCGCAATCGAAGAGTGGATGTAGCGTTGCGTGCTCTGTCTGATTCAGAGAAGTCTTGGTTTACAGCAGAAATTCTCTCGAGAAGGTCAAACCGAGCACGACGCGCTGAAGAAATTTCCGCAGACTCTGCAGTGGATGTTTCGGTACTAGATCTTGAAGCCCCAGGCTTTAGAGGTGAATGCCAGATTTGCTGCGGGGACAATGAAGTTCTGTCTATTGCTCTCAAAGTACTGAGCGCAGATGCTATGGCAGCTAACACCGATAACTTTGCTCTTGACTTCCCATTGGCAGCCGGGAGATTCGAAGCAAACATGAATATACTGTCTAGTCAGTGTATTTGTTTCCAATGTGCATTATTTGGAAGACCCGGTCATTCTATCTACGGAGAAGAAATCGCTGCTATTATTCCCACTCTAGAGTACACTAGTAGCAATAAATGGTATATTCACCAGCAGTTGTACAGAGCGCTCAATGCGGGGCTCAAAACTGGCGTTCCAGCTATGGGACAATTGTTTGCGACAATTTTGGATCGTACGTTAAGGGCCAAGAAGTGGGCTGGTGCCGGCTTTGAGGATGAGAAAGGAAGTATAGATACAGAAGTCCTACAGAGAAGAGATGCAATAACTTGGCTCCTGAATAATACAATCTCACGTCTCCGCGTGAGGGAAACATTCAACGAACTGGGTCAATGGACCACCTACCCGCTCGCTCTTACTTGGACGGCACAAGATTTTCAAAAAGAAGGCTTGACATCTTGGTGCATCAATTATCCCGTCGCAGGTTTTATGCAACTGCTACGATTCGGAAAAATGCTGAATGTATTCTCGGACGAAATTATCACCGATATGAAGAATACCAAATTCCTGCATTCATTCGTCTCAACCTTCTTTGCACGGCTTTACAAAAACATGGGTAAATCTCGCCACTGGACAAAACCTCTGTTGGAAATCCTTTACGTGGAATTCAATGACGATCTAATTCCAAAAGATCTGGGAGGTGATGCATCGATATTAAGATCAGTATCGGCATTCTGGAATACAATGATGACTTTCATGCCTGCAGAAGATTTTCTCAATGGCTGGACAGAGGAAGAATTAAGAAAGATGATGTCTCGAATACAAATTCTCGCTTTCTGGCTAGTATTTCACCAAACGGCACATACATCCGCCAAAACCTATTTCGCACAATTGCGCTCCAAGGAACCTTTAGCTGTTGTTTTGCTGGACACAAAGGCCAGGGTTCCTGAAAATGCTGTTAGTGAAATACTGCTGGGTATATTCATCGAATCTAAGCCAGAATTCAAGAATAGAGATGCGTATACCAGCCACAAAGATGTTGTGGTCCCTTTTGAGAATCCGTTTGGTGCGTCGGCAATGCACTGCGGAGCTCCAGATTGCGGGGTTTCTTTCCTACCAGAAGAAGTCTCCTTAAAGCAAATTGCAAACGGGGAAATAGAATGGATACCGCGACTACTGGATCAAGTAAGGAAGAAGAGAAGAGATCATCTAATCGATATTTTCGGAGTTCTTGGAAACCAGGAGAAAGAAATAAGTGAAACAGGATTACCAGGTGTAACGAAGATCCCATCAAGGCCAAATGAAATCCACAGCTGCATGCACATAGGCATCGTCAAAACATGGGCTACACTGACGCGCAAGGAGAAAAGAAATTTGACAGGTGCCATTCAATCTTCGCTGACAGGTGATTGTGATGGAGAGGATTATAGATTAATCAAGGAGTTTGTAATTAAAGCGAAGAAATGCATTTGTGGGGTTGGGAGGGGCAATATTTATTCGGCAACACTGGAGAGAGATGTCAGGGCTGTGTTGCCTAGCTTCCTGGAGGTTCTGAAGGCGGGGTTAGCGATCGAGAAGGAAGAGGGGATGTGCGAGGATGTGAGTTTGTATGAGTTTGATTTTGAAGAGAATAGAGTGGCAGGAAAAATTCGGTGGGAGGTGGAATCTCTGAGAAGGAAGGGGCTTGTTTAAGGGCGCGAACGAGCGCCAGTGGAGGGTTTGAAGAGTCGGCGGAAAGTTAGGGACTCTGCCCTCGAGAAAGACTTAATATTAATTGAAACACTCATATCGTTAGCCAATAAGGCTTCTCTCATTTTGTGATAATCCAAATTGTATAAAATTGATATTTCAAGATTTTTTTTTGGATTGTCAGAAACCTTGACGTTGGTTTGCAGATACTGATTCAACCCAACTTCTCAGTGCACGGGATATATCTTTGGCAATCTTAAGAGAGGAATCTGAAATTGAAGGTCGAACTAGGAACGCATCTGATCACTCCAAGCACGGAAGCTAAAATTCCGGTTGCTCTGGAAATTAGTTATGACAGGTCATATGGCACTTGGACACTATGCTACTCAGAGCTTCGGTACTCAAAAAAGCATACAGTACATTCAAGACCAATTTCATATGAGAATACAGAGAACCAGTTATGTGCGGGCCCAAAGAACTGGCTTGACATATGTATACAAGTCGAGGAGATGTAAGATCTAAAAGCAATAGATACCCTTTGTTATGCGCAAAAGCACTACGAGATTCCAAAACCCCAATATGTATGAACTATATAAGGGATTTTGTGGTGATGAGTACCTAGGTAGCTAAGAACAGGCGAGGCTCGACAAACTCAAAATCAATTCCGATTCTCATCTGACTTTGGAAATTGTTTAAGGGTCTACAAGAGCGGGCCTCTAGCGGGCTTCTAGATTGCATATCGAAGAAATAAATCCTAGTGTAATGTTTGATGGGTCATGCATGTAATCATAGGAAGCAAGAATACATTGCATTTTCACTGGAAAGCCGATCAAACGTTCGAAGAGATTCGCTAGCGAAGTGAATAAATTAAAATAACGGGGTAGCATGAACCTTATGCACGAGCTTGGAATACAGTACATAAGTACTCAAACTTGAGTCTATACTGTAGTGACCTGTCGTAGTTTCATATGTTACACAGTACTAGAAAGATGATTTTGTAAATTGTACACAAAAGTCATGATTCTGGAAAGTGGCAAAGATCGAAAAAAGCCCATGTGTCGCTTGAAATAGGAAATCGGCAATTTCTAGTCTGTCCAACCAAGTCCCCAAGAGAAGTTGATTCGGAATGTAGTTTCCCTTATTGGGGATCTTTGATTGTGGGATACAATCGTTGTCTGTAATAAGAGCGGATATACTCCAAGTGAAGGATGTATTAGGGGTCCATCTCGTGGGGAACATGGTTCTGATGGTGGCGCAGTAGAAGGAAGTCAGCCCTGGAGATATGAAAAATTCGTAACACTGGACTCCCTATAATAGATTTCTAGATATCATCTTAGAGTGTAACATCATTGAAGGTTGTTAAGCGACGATAAAGTTCCAAGGCAATGGCACTTTCTGTATCCGTGAAGGTCTTGGTTCGTCAGGTTGCAATGAGCTTGAATAAACTGGGGCCCATTTTCTATCTTCATGGTTTGTGGAGACGAAGGTAACGAGATTTGTAACAATATGAGAAATTCACAAACAGTTAGAAACGGTTTGCGAGCTCAAAATGATCATTTTCGCCATTAAGTTCTTCTTTCTATCAGATGCGAGGATAGTTAGATGGAGGAATTAAAGTCACGTGTAAAGTATAGAACAATAGTTCTAGGCTGGATTGAGACTAGTCTGCACCTTTTCGTCGAGACAATTGCAATTCGATATCTTATCACTTAACAACAAACAAACAATCATTCGATTTTCACGACTTCAAACTCTTCAAATATCCACAGACACGCAATACATGTCCAAAATTGTTCTCTTCGTCGTATCATTTATTCTTCATTCTCACAGTTCGTCGTGTCTACAGGAAATTCTTCAGAGCACATTAATTATTAATAGTGAATGGTTTCATCCTAGCCATCTTGATACTTCTTGAGCTTCATAGGGACGCCACAGGAATATTCCACCCCCTGATCTTTGCTTCCAACTTCCAAGGTCGGGCCCCATTCTAGGGATTACTGGACGAACCTTTCGTTTTCTTCTTAGGACCAAAAATTGATGTCTCGATCAGTATCGTCTTGTTTGTTTCCAAGATAAGGGTCCGTCCTACCTATGCTACATCTGAAATAAATGTGTATGATGATGTCAAATTGGTTGTGATGTTGCACAAAGTCACTCTGGTAGATTCATGGCAAAACTTGAGTTGCACATGGGCAACCTTCACGAGTTGAACAGTGTTCGATCTTGCTTGTTATCAACTTTCATTTCTGCTGATTCAGTGTCGTCGAAAAAAGATACTCGTTAATTAGTCCTACTGTTCGTGGTGATTGATGCTTAAATCTGAAATGTTCATTCTTTTTTTAAACAGAGCGCATAACGGCCAGTGTCCTGATTCGAGGTCCACTCAATCAATGCCATCGGCAATTAATAGCCAATTGGAGCCTATGAACCAAAAATGTCACAACCTAAATCCGGTGGAATATTCTACAGAACCATCTACGTTGAGGATCATGGATACTTCCCAGTATCTTTCTCATTCTTTGGTCCCTTGGCTTCTCTTACTTTTCTTGATTGGTCAATTTATCCTGTTGCATGAACTGCTTGACCCACACTGCTTTGACCTTGTAGTCAGGGTCCTAAGCGAACATTTGCGACACTGTCGAAACCTCAATGGTACCTAGTCAAGCTTCTCATACTTCAGTTGTCAAAGACTGCTCCCTCTATTCAGTCTGGCCGATTGAACTGACTTTGCTAATGAAAGATATCATAATGAGCATCTTCAATCAGAATCTTCCCTGAACATCGCTCACGTTGTAAGCAATTAATTGCGTCCTCCACTTGATCAGGAAGTTCAAACACTTTTCGATAGAAGTCTTACCTTGGGTACCATCACCTTTTCATACTCTCCATAGTAAATGAGTTGAAACCCACTTCGAGTGGCGGCGGCGTGGCCCATATTAGTTTAGCACTACTCCCCCACCACTTCCTCCACGCACAAGGTTACCCTGCCAGGATGGACTTGGTCAATCCGCGTGTGGGCCAGACATTCACCTTGCCAAATGTGCTTTCTTATACATCATACATTCCGATAATATTTGTAAACTGTCTTTTGAGACTTTGTGACATTCTCTTGGGGTTCTTTTTCCTTCCTTCGAGTCTGTCATTATTCTCTACGATACGTGCAGTGCACTATCCATCACTGCTGGTTCAGATAATTTCTTATCTTTTATTTTCTTATTCTGTGCCAACTGGATTTTTGGTACAATTCGCTCTTTTTATACCTCATTAATTACTTTTCGCCGTCTCCTCTGCCACCTACGCCAAAGAACTCTAGAATATTTTCCAAGAAATAAACTATCGTTACAGCACTTTCACCATTCGGATCTCATGACTTAACGACGACATAAGGCAACGCCACGGCTCGCTGCCTATATCTATCGATAGCTTCGATCATAATAACGACAAAATGGGTGCAAGTTCAGCGTTGTATTTGATGGCCCGGGCGGAACTCTACGATGGCTCTGAACCTGCGTCGACCTTCCTGAAAGATGTGCAGAGCTCTGGGAACAACACAGTCGCGGAGGGGATTATAGAAAACTTGGTGTTTGCAGAAAGCAAATCGGTCCGGACATCGACTATTATTCTAGCAGCCTTTAATGTACTAGCTTCTTTTGCTACAGCAGCGAGTATTCTTTACGACTGTTACTGGGCATCGAAACGATGCAACCCGAAGTTTAAAGCTTCGTATGTTATGGATAATTCGCATTCTTGTGGCAGGGTAACTAACGCGTGCTAGAAAATTTTGCGTTTCCATGATTCACCCAGCGGAAACTTTCCCTTTGGTACTATCTATTGGTATTGTGATTCAAGGACTTGTCTTTGCTGCAGTTCAAGGAGAAGGACTTCATTCGTTATTCACATTTGGATGCGGTACAATTGCTCAATTTATGTGGATTGGTATGTTTTATCTAGCACTAGAAAATTTCTTGATACTAATGATGCTCAGCTCTTTTCATCGTTCCGTATATTCAACTTGTTTTCGGCCTCGAGTGTGCTATACGATCTTTGAAGAAAACGCCTTTCAAACCAAGAGGAAAATACGATGTATCGATATGTTTAGGAACAATCGTGTTGATGTTAGTTGCCACTTGGATCCCAACAAATCTCTTTCCACAAAAAAATAGATGCTTTGCTTCATTGGTATGGTTCGTGTCAAGATATGGAACGTTTGGACTCAGTGTGTATGCCACTGTTGCTGGTCTCTTAATTATCAGTGCTCTCACTATATTTACCAGACTATCCAAGACAACCTTGGTAGAGCGAAATCAAAGAATTGCAGCATCTCGTATGGTGTATTACCTCGTTGTAGGTGTCGTATCATTGGTAAGTCTATCTGATCAGTTGGAGTTTAAACATAGCTAAAGATTAAAAGGGTTTCGTCATCCCATACTTCGTTTCCCAAGCAATTGGACACGGTAACTTTAAGCTAGCCATGATGGCAACTGTGGTCCTCAATTTGTCCGGTCTGATGAACGGTTTACTCCACTTATTCTTACGGTCGAACACTGCAACAACATCATTTGGGCCAAGAGTCAGGTCCTGGCCCAGTAATAAGCATGAGATCAGAATGTGGGGGCCGAATGAGTTGGCATTCAACGATCAAATAATGGACCCTGTTCCAGCGCCAGTATCTCCAAGATCAGGATTGGTAAGTCGAGCAGAAAGCCAGAAAAGTTTAATCACTTCCTCGGACAAAAGAAACTTCATAAGCATGGCGGACTTATCTGTCCCACAACCGCCCACCTATTCACCGACAAAGCCAAATCCTCTACGCTCAAATTTCGTTACCCAAATGTCATCGGTACCAATTCCTCCTACTCCTACCGAGCATTTCCCTTCGGAATATACGAGAAAACAATCATACTCTCTTTTCCCAACACCAGCTCCCGATAGCCCTGACAGATTAGCACCTCCCCACATAAACAGATCTGCCTTGGAATCAGTTTACGATATTAGCGATCTTT